ATTATATATGTATGCATACATGAGTTCCATGCACATGACTGCGAACACTGTCCCGTTCGCTGTCACGGGTCGTCTTGGGGATTAAATTTGAACCTTTTATAACATCGGGACAAAAACCTGAGCAGGTCACTAATTCTAAAGTTATGGAGGAGTATGGGCTACATGCACAACCAACCACTCAAGAAGATATTCCAACATTCTGGCAATTTTTGATGCTGAAATAGCTGCAACATTGAGGTTTCTACCTGAAATGATATTACACTTTTGCTCATGAATATGTAAATTTACATTAGCATAAAAAAAAACAGAGGCACCAAAATATCCTGGAAAATGGCAAAACGAAAATTGAAAATAAGGTTAAATGGGACACAAAGGTGCATTTTTCAAGGATTGAATTTTAAAAACTTCATTGCATGGGCCCTTTGACACAAAAAAATTGAATGCAATACAAGTGTCAATAATTGTTCTTTCACTGCACAATTTGTTATTTACCTATTGAAACTACACCCGTCTCAAATATGAAAAGAGTTTTAATTATTCTCAGCCTGTTTTGGGGAGCATTCCAGCACCATATCTCGGAAAATGTGTTAAATGGTTCACTAGCCACGGATGCTGACTTGTTAAAAACAAAATTCAAAAGTTTGCCGCAAATGTGTTACATGGAAAATCTAATAATACTGGCAGACTCTCGGTCCCCGAAACAGACAGCGCCACAACTGCCATGCATCCTCCTGAGAGTTCCCCTCACAGGTGAACGGAATTACGGGATGATCGCGGCAAAAAGGAAACAAAAAGTCAAAGGGGATACAGTATAGCCACAACACTAGCGGTATGGTCTCTGTGCACAAGTACGCCCCCTCAAAGTCAAAGGGACAGTTGAAGGAGCCAACCGGGAGGGACATATGATTTATGAATGCATTGCGCCTGATGCTCATGTGAAGACACTAAGGGATTGCTCACATTCAGAATATAATTACCAGCGCAAACTTTGCGTGCAAACCAGTACGCACATGCAGTGTGTCCCTCACACTGGGGATCTTGAAAGTGGTCACAGAGCGCCCTCTATGTTGATGCACGGAGTCTATAACAATTATGATACCACTTTTTTTATGACAAGATATACGTATTGATATTGATATAAACTGATACCACGATACATTCTTAAAGGTGGAGTAGATCATTTGCAGCTATCCAAAAAGTAACTGATGAAATTATTGTTGAAAATCTTACATGGTTTAAAGGGAATGTACAACATTTGCTTTTGCTGCAAGTTTCAGAAATAAATGGATTTGGAGGATTAGTATGTTATAGCAAATATTGTTAAAATGACTTGTTTCACGATTTGGGCTTGTAGATGCTGGAAAAACCAAGAAAACCAATCATGTTCTTGTAGTCTGGTTCCCTGACCCCACTTAAGATGAAACAGTGCAATGTATAACCTTTGCGGAATTGTAAGGTCAGAGAATCAGTCTAGCAGGCTTGTACCCCTTCACAGGTGTGTAATCAATTGCAAAGAAAACGCGGAATAACTAATTATGAAAAATTAGAAGCACTTTTTGAAAAAAGCCAGTTTTCTCCAAAAAATCCCATTTTTCTTGAAAATGACAGCACACTAGGAGCCACGATTTTACAGAATGTTTTAGACTGTCATTCCCTAACAATCCAGTAAGGTATTTCGTGATAATTCGATCATTTCGTTTTGTGATGTTTGCAAATGTTGTATCTTCCCTTTAATTAATTAAAGATGGTAATGGTACTAAACTCCCTGTGAAGTTATTCTTTCTGGCATGCTGACATTCGGAAGAAAACAATAAAAGAAGGTCAATTCCAAAGATGAGTGAAGTGACGCTTTTTGGAAATTTCCGTTAGTAGTTGGTTTTGTAATTGGGGGAATCCGTGAATAGGTGCGCACAAGCGTTGACACGATGTCACACACACGCGTGCGCAGTTGCTATTATCCATCGGTTTGGTGCGTGACATCGCGTAGCTGCAATTGGCTGAATGAGAATGTTTTCTGGATGCTGATTTCGGGCGCAATTCAAACTATGACTCGGCAATTTTTGAATTGAAATCGAGATCCTAGAATGTTGTTTTCTCAGAATATACAGCATTCACTGAGCTAAAACATCATCAGGTTTAGTTGTTAAACACCCATCTTTAGATTTTGAGCACTTTGGTTGCTTCAAACAAAACAAATGCACAAAAGATCTATTCTACCTTTAAGCATCAATTAAACTCAATAAATGAGATGAACAACGAAGATTTTTTTGTATTTATTGTGACCATTTGCGATATGGTGCGATATTTACAACAGACAGGTACATTTTCGTGCCATTTTATTTTGAAAATGGATAATAAAAGAATTGATTGATTGATTGAAACAACCAACCAAGTGCTGTGATGTAAGTGTTCTGTACACAAAGAACCACTCAATAGGTTTTTTTTTTTTAATGTAAAACCTGGCTACCAAGGTAGAGCTAGCGTGAGCAGAACCAGTGAGGTGGCTGGCCCGTAAACAGATCACTATCTCGCCGATTGCAGGATGTTCATCTGTTGCGTTTCGTTCCACAAATTACTGAAAACCTTCAATGAGAGCAAGCGCATCTATCAGTAGGTCAAAAGGTGGTCTGATTGTAATCTCCATGTGGCAGAATGTGGCATGCGTGACTATTTTTGAAAACTCAACGACAAAAGGTCATGTGCACGAGTATGTGAACTATAAATTTACCAAGGTTCTGTCCTTGACCTGGTTTTACAAGGTATCACTATGAGTTCATCATTATATTATAGGGGCTTAGTGATAAAAACGACCAATCTACAAGTGCAGGGTTTGAATCCTGTGGTATCCTGGTGAAAGAAGAGGCATGACTCACCTAAAATCACACTTACCAACTTTGATTAAACGACTTTAATTAGGGGCAAGGGCGGATCCAAAACAAAATTTTTGGGGGGCCAAAAAAAGTTTTCGTCCCCCCAAAAAGTGGGTCAACAAAATTACGGCGTGGGGTTCGGGGCCCGCTTAAGGGCCCCGAAAATTTTTTGGATTCTAGATGCTCTGTGGTGCGATCTGAGGCAATTTCTGACCACTTTTTGAGGAAAAGATGGTGGTGTACTCATTGCCTGCCTTTATTGCGATGTCACATAAAAAAATTTTTTTAAAAATTGGTTTCGCTTTTTGGGGGGCCATGGCCCCCTTTGGCCCCCCTGGATCCGCCCTTGATTAGGGGTGTGCATTTAAGGGAAGTACAGGAACCAGGTACCCAATTGAACAAAACACAGGTACCCAGGTACCCGTTAAAGAAACCCAACCCCAAAATTCAAATCCCGGAAGTTGCTGTTCAGATTGTTCATAAAGGTCCACACGATAACACTACCATATAGGTGTTTCAATACAGCAAGATACAAGTGTGTACAGTGAACTTTATAGCTTTACGGTGTAAACTGCTACTGGACATACAAGCTCCATAACATTTATGACCAACTAGTCCAAACCACGTCCACAACGCCCTCTATGACGACCAAGAAAGGGTATAAAAGGCAGTTAAGCATCGGACATGGTTGTAAGTCTGACGAAGTTCCTTGCTTAGGAGTGAAACGTAACTAAAATATACGTGAATGACATCTACATGTTTTGGGATGGAAAAAAAAAAAATCTCCTAATTCATGCAACTTTTGCGAGCATCATAAATATGAAATATGTTTTGTTTTCCCATGAAGCCTGGTTTTCATTTTGAAAATTCCCCACAAATAACATTCAAAAGATTTCTCATTGTCTGAGAACTTTCTATTAAAGTAATTTGTAAATTTGGTTACGTTAGGCCTACCCAATCCCATAATCTGGAACCAGTTCCTGATGTCAGCAGTCGGGTACTCGATTCCGATGCATAGCCAATGAGGTAGCAGGACCAGGAATTTGACATTGGTAAGATGCACATTTTAATAATACGACAATAACAAAATTTCAAGGAAACTACACATGTTGTGCAGTATTCATTACTCAATATGGGAACCACTTGTTGAAAATATTTTTATTTTCTTTTAAGATTTACCACAATGTCCTCATTATTTCCTGACACCCGAGGGCACTGTTACTCGAAGTGCATTTCAGAGATGTTCTCTACAAATTATAAAACTTAAATTAAAGTTGGGTCAAATCCAAGTAAAGGTCAAAAGCAATGGAGGAGAAAAAAAATGACAACAGGACCTCTCTGTCCCACTTGTGGGGACTTTACAATACAGAAGACGGATAGTGCCACTCAATGAGCGTGAATATATTTTTTTGTACGTGTGAAAATATATTTTTGTACAGCGGCCGCCACATATAAGTGGTGGCCGCTGTACAAAAAAATATTTTCACACGTACAAAAAAATATATTTACACTCATTGAGTGGCACTATCCATCTTCCGTATTACAATGACCCTGCCTACCTAAATTCAATCACAAATTAGGTGCATGATTTGCAAACTTCCATTGTTGACTGGTAGTCTATGTAATAGACCCTGGCAAAGCCGACCAAGGCCTAAAATATGTAAACAGATTCGGCGATTAATTATGAAACTAGACTGCGTATGACCTCGAGAACCTGACCAATCAGCAGGCGCCTTCTATACGCACGTAATTCGAGCTCCCCGCGTGCGTAAACATGAAGCCCACGATGAGTAGCATTTTTGTACAGGTTGTTGTATAACAAAAACCCTGCATCGAAATCGACCAATCACAATTTTAGTCCTGATTTCGGAATGAAATGACGTCACGCATGCTTAGATATATCAGACGTTATACAGGAGACTTTGCTCTGTGGATAACGGGTGATACTCAGACTAGTTGACTGGATGGCAGACAAGAAATTTCGGATGGGTTAAACAAAATCACAAATGGATGGAGGCAAAACTGTAATGAGATTTAAACCAATGTTCAAAGTTGAAAGGTGAAGAAATGGATTGGTCGGCTGTATTACAGACCATTGACCCCAACTACATGCCCATGAGCCATACTTACAGATTTATCCTCGGATCCAGTGGCTATGTACTTGGCACAAGGACTGATCGCAACACCGCAGCGATGCGCTCGATTCATGTGACCTTCGAACCTCTTGACACATCTACAATAAAACACAATATTATAAAATACTGAAATAAGGTCAAAGAAATCGACTGGAGCAGGGTTTGAACCCGCGACCTCCGGAATACAAATTGAGCTATCTAACCTTATTTCGGTCATTCTGTATCAATTCAACGCAATTTTTCACCCGACCCTCACGGATTGAAACGATATTTGGTGAGATGATTTGCCTGTATGAGAAACTTACAGGCAGAATTATTGTTGTAAATTTGGCTAGTTAGTTTTGGGGGCACGGGTGAACAAACTTTTGACTGATTACCATGACTCCGAATTTTAAATACTTATATCTCCAAAAGTATAGCACCTACAAAGCCAAGTTTTACATCATTTTAAAGCTCTTTGGATGGCCTTCATTTCATAAAATAAAATCAACATTGTAGCATGAAGCGCTGAGAAAATGCGTAATGAAATGAACTTTGACCTTGACTTACGAGATTACGTACACTTCAAATTTCGTAATTTTTGTTCAAATGTCAGTTTATGATGTAAGCAACAATCTTGGCAAATTTTGTAATGGGCACTCTTAGCTTCAATCTGTAAGGGTCCAATAAAAAAATCGTGGTGAATTGACACAAGGACAAATGAAACGATTCTAGCAGAGATTCTACCCAAAGAACGACTCATAGTGTCTGTCCGCTTGAGGAAGCCCTGCTTCTTTGGACATCTGGACAGGGGAAGTGCTGGGGAGTTAGGAGCAACAATCCAAGAAGGCAAAGTGGAGGGGAAAAGATCTAGAGGCCGACCCAAAGCAACCTGAGAAGACAACATCAAAGACTGGACCGGACTCAGCATCCAGACAACTGTGTGACGTGCCAAAGATCGCCAATCCTGGAGACGTACAGCAAATTTGGCTGCCACCGGCCACCCACCCTCTGTCAGAGAACGGCACCGGATAGGGGGTCTTCAAATTTGTTACAGCATGTACATTGCTAGCATAGTAGCTTTGGGCTGAATCCTTAACCATATGGCACATAATAATTCATGGCTTCTGTCTTAATCCCAATGATCAAAGACATGACAAAATTTGGACTGGTTAACTCAGTTGGTAGAGCACTGATACAGTATTCTAGAGGTTAGAGGTTCACATACAGCCCTACCCAATTTCGTTGTAAAATCTGATATTGATTTTTAAAAAATCTAGTGAGTTTCCCTTTGTGTTTTTTTTAAATAAAACATATTAACACTGTGGGAAATAAACCCTGAAATTTGGAATTAAAGGTACATGTACACTTGTACATGTAGGTTCATTAGCTTTTTGTACATTTTTTCCATTTAATGCGCCAAATTTGCCCAAAACAAACCTCAAGTAGGGTTGATTAACAACTAACCCGTTGAACTTTCACCTCAGTAGAAAATATACATTTTGAGAAAACAGAAACAAATGAATATGCAACTTTTTAGGTCTTGTAACTAGGTTCCGTTACAAACTCACCTAAGGCAGGCCACCCCATTTTGAAACCACATTCAATGTTAAGTTTTCTTCCAAACAATACAATTTCAGGCAGAGCAAGGTTTCAATCCTTAAAGATATAGTCCATCATTTGTAATTTGTGCATTTTGTTCGTTTGAAGCAACAAAAGTGTTCAAAATCTAATGAAGGATACTGAACAACTAACCTGATGAAGTTTCAGCTAAGCTTCAGCTGTATATTCCGAGAAAAACAGCATTCTAGGATCTCAATTTCAAATCAAAAGTTACTGAATCATGTTTTGAATTGTTTTGAATTGCAGCTATACGCGACGTCGCGCACTGATCCGACGAATTATAGCAACCACGCACGCGTGTGCGTCGTGCCAATGCTTGCGCGCGCTTCGCCGAATAACAGAACGAACTTCTAATTTAAATTTTCCTTCGGTGCGTCTTAAGACGCACCGTTGGAAAGGCCTTCTTTCATTGATAACTTCAAAATGACAGCTTGCCAGAAAGAATAATTTCACAGGGAGTTTAGTTCCCTTACTATCTTTCAACCAAGTTTGTTTTTCAACAATAATTACGCCAGTTACTTTTCGGATGGCTGCAAATGATGGACTATAGCTTTAAAACAGGTAGGTAATTTTCCGGGTAAATGCAAATCATTCCACAGTGTCATGAAAAACCTTTTAACGGTTGGATGTTGCTGTACTTGCAAAAAAAAATGCCCAAAATAATGTTTAAAAAGGACTCCGTGTAAGGCTCAAAAAGTACAACTGCTTAGTCATGAAGAAATCTGGACCCTTATCACTCGGCGAGTGTGATGTGTCCCATGAAACATAACCATGTGAACGTAAGTGAAAATGATTTGTACAGAGGATGTTACTTAGGATGGAGGGGTGAGCTCAGCGACCCTGCGCCCTGCATGAGGGGGCGGGTGTGGGGTAACATCTTGGGTGAGCATACCTGTTGGTGCGTAGATCCCACAGCTTAATGCTATCAGTCACGGCAGCTGTCAGGAAAAGGTCATAGGCCGAGGGAGGGTGGCTAACATAGGCTGAACCCTTTGGACAGAGAAAAAAATGGGGGGGGGGTGGAAAACATAAAAATTCAAGAACATTGTAAATCAAAATCACACTGGTGCTAGGGATTTGGAGAACGATTTTTAGCGACCACTTCCGCCAGACGCAGCCTGAAGAATTGTCTACTACGGTGGTACGTGGCTAGCATTTATAAAGTGACACGCCATCTCTACCTTTGCATTGGTTGCGTTTGTTTTAAGAAATAAAATCACTCAAAATCAAAAGAGGGTGCACAACAACTTATATGATGTAAGTGTAAGCTTTTACAGAAAACTAAAAACATATGCACAACTTTTTGGTCTCGAGGCTAGATTCTGTTGTGAGCGTTTCTGTTTAAAACGTTGTAATGACAGTCACTATATCAAAACAACTCCCTTTCATTTCATTAGTGTATTTGACGTCAAAGTGGATGGGTAATCTGCGCAGTATTTAACAAATATTTTTATTCAACTTATAAAGCCTGTTTTAATGATTTTCTTCCAAGCAATACCATTTCAGGGTGGAAAACTTTCCCAGGGTATCTGGTACTAAACCTGATTGTATGTTTCAGGCTTAGAGCTTTCAAGCAAGATTTATGTACAGTGAACATTTACGTTGTCTGTATAAGACATTTCAACCTGAAAATGAGTCATATTATTTTTCCTTATGTAGGAAATGCACTGGCCATACAGAACTGTAACTGCTGTCATTGCTTTGGCACATAAAGACATTAGGTTTTAAAAAGTTCATCTTGAGGAACATAGGCATTATGTGGGTAAACAAATATTGACATTTCCTGATGATTTCCATTGTGCAGGAATTTTTTTTTTTAAGCGTATAAGATCATTTGCATTTATCCCAAAAGTAACCCAGCAAATAATTAGCAAAAACCTTATTTGAATTGAAGATCATACTGGTACTAAACACCCCATGAAATTATTCCGCCTGGTTTGCTGTCATTTAAAGAAATCAAGAAATGTACGTGATTTCCAACAATCAGTCAACTGACTGGGCCCAATTTCATAGCACTGCTTAACAGTAAGCAGAAAAGTTGTGCTTACTATAGCAGAAAATCGTGCTGCTGCTTAAGCACTATTTCATGTGCTTACAGTTGCGCGCGCATGGAGATTTCTATTGTTACGTGACTGATTTAAGCAAAGTTTTCTTCTGAGGTTAAGCCTGCTTTTGCTGTGCTTACTGCTTAACGGTCCCTATGAAATAGATGGAGGCTTGGTAAGCACAAAGTCGGCTGTTAAGCAGCGCTATGAAATTGGGCCCTAATCGTTGGAAGTAAAGAGTTCTATTGACGAAATCATATTTCGTTATCACTGTTGTGCGTGGGTTTTCACTGTTTTCTTGAAAAGTGTAATATCCACTGAGCTGAAACTTCAACAGGTTAGGTTTTGAACATTCTTTGGATGTTGAGAAGTGTTATTATTGGAAACGAACAAAAATGCATGAAATGCAAATGATCCTATATGCCTTTTTAGGGTCTGTACAAGCTCAAAACAAGATCCGACGACTTCAGACTCACTTTGTTCCATTGGGTCACAAATCATTGAGTTTATTCATAATCGAGAAAAATGTGGGAAAAGTAACAGGTTGTATTACCTCATTTTGGCAAATACAGTGAGCGGGCCTGGAGTGGGCAGTGGGAACGGTCCGGATGCTTCTACCAACGTTCATGTCGAAAAATTCCAAGGACTTGTCTGATCCTGCACACATGACAATATCTGTAGTTGTGATGGTCAAGGCTATAACTTGGTATCTGTGGCAAAGGTGGCCAAATTAGCACAGTGTCTGAATTATGATTTTCCAGGATTTAATCTTTTTTCCAATCTGTGTAACTGGAATATATTTTGGTTGAGAAGACAATGGTTCTTCAAAGACCCCTGTGATACACTAAGAATAAACTCTATTGTTGATTGACTAGTGGTTATTATACAAGTAATGAATGTTTATGAGTGCAATGGTAAGAATAATTTCATTAGGTGACAGATGAATGTTCCATTCAACGAGGCGAAGCTGAGAGTCATGGCACATTCTGACAACCCTTCCCCTACCCTTTACCATGGAATAGAAGTTTTATTTTTGAGATGCGGCCGGGACTTTGGGGGTTGGGACGAATACTTCAATGACATGTGATCAATGACCCATCAATCAGATGGCGCGGATTTATTCAGGCACTGCATAATTCATGATGTAAATGTAAATTCATAACTAAACTTCTTAAATGGGGGTTTGTCCTTCACTGATGTATTTTTGTAAAAACAGGATACTCAGTGTTGTCCAAGGGTTTGCGAAAAAAAGTTGGGCAAAATGAAAGATAAAATGTACATCTCCCCGACGCAAATTCCATCTAATAAATAACTGAACTTCTCTGTCCTGGCTCCCTGCTGTACTTAAGATGCTTGCAGCTATTGGTAACCAGCCACTCATCCACTGAGTTTCAGTCCCTGCCTGGTTGCTTTAGTTTTCCCTGCGTGCAATTCCGGGTTATCCTTTAACCTCTTCAACTAAACAATTTCTTCATCGTTTTCTCTGTTTAGGTTCCTTCAAGCTTCTGAGCTACGGTGCCTGCGCACTTTTGAGAAATCCTCAGTTTCGTTTAGTCTGAGGATCAGACGTTTACATGTGCAGAGCCACACTACAAACGTCCGATATATTCGTGCATGCAAATTTTATGCGACCCCACAAGCCAGCCAGTCGGAGTGGCCTTTAGAAGTTGTGACATCATTTAGAGCAGAAATTTGGCCAAAGCTGTTATTGGTCAATAGCTGCCATGTTTTTGTCGTACCATGGGTTGCCGAAGACACTATAGAAGGTGCTCGCTGAATGGTCAGAATATCGACGTCAAGATGCAGTGTTGTTTTGCATATAATAGATGCTTGCCTTGCAAACATCTATTCTATAGGTTAGGTTTCGTTACTGGGAAGAACTGAACTAACAAAATAAAACGCAGTTGACCACGTTAATATTTGAACCAGGGCCAAAAAAAGGAACATGAGGAAGGCATCACTGAGCCATTCTGACAGCCATTCCGACAACCCTCCCCCTACCCCTTGACATATCTCATTCAGGCATGTAACTGGGAATTCCGAAAAACGAGGAAACCCCAAATCACACAAGACTTTGTACAGTGTTTTTCAATTTGTAATGGCATTCATGAGAAGTAAAAAAAACGAGGAAATCAGCAGATCCGAGGAAAAGTTGCATGCCTGCTCATTAGATTTTCCGACAGGAATTCATTCGTGGTTTTAAGTAAGACGTACCGACAAAACACAAGCCCCTTCACAGTCCAGTACATCTTGATATTTACACAAACCAAAGTGCAGTCAAGCGTTGTCAACGGGCGTCCACTTGTCTGGCTGTTTTCCCTTGAATTTTGCCACCTTTTTCCTGAAAACAGTACTGCTAACGACCTACTAGGGAAGTTAAGAATCTGTTTTGCAGACGTCAACAAACGGGATGTCTATGGCTTTTTCAAACTTAAAACTTGTGATCTGTTAGATGACATCTAGAGCTCTGGTTCTATGCAGGATTCAACAAGATAGGGTTTAATAGGTCGAATTGGACCAGTGAACTGCGTGATAACCCATTTCTGGACAGGGGAAGTGCTGGGGAGTTAGGAGCAACAATCCAAGAAGACAAAGTGGAGGGGAAAACATCGAGAGGCCGACCCAAAGCAACATGGGAAGACAACACCAAAGACTAAACCGGACTCAGCATCCACACAACTGTGCGACGTGCCAAAGATCGCCAATCCTGGAAACGTACGACCAAGTTGGATGCCACCCACCCTCTGTCAGAGAACGGCACTGGATAGGTGGTCTTCAAATTTGTTACTGCATGTATGTTGCTAGCATAGTAGCTTTGGGCTGAATCCATAACCTTATGGCACATAATAGTTTATGGCTTCTGTCTTAATCCGCATGATCACAGACATGACAAAATTTGGACTGGATAACTCAGTTGGTAGCTAGAGCATTGATATAGTATTCTGGAGGTTCGAGGTTCACATTTTATTGGGTTTAATAGGTTCGAATTGGACCAGTGAACTGCGTGATGACCCATTTCCAAATGACCTTTCCTTTTCTCAAAGATGGATGCATTAGTTCAGTCATGATATATGCCAATTTCATGACTCACTAGATAAAGTTCACTGACCAGTTTGTGCAAAATTAACTGCAGGGGATCTGTTGAGCTCAGTGTTCACATATCGGCTGTTTCTATTTTCGACGCACATCATCATGAATAAAAAACCTGCGGCTAATGTGCGACATTTCGTGCGTCCATACTGTTATCAATAATCTCAAAATGGTCTTAAGTGGTTTTTCTGCAGGATACAGATTTTCATGCACTGACAGAACACATTCAGTAAAAGCAGTGTCTGTTTGAGGAAGATAACACACTGTGTTGACATTAGACTGCGACCAATTTGCAAAGAAACCTCTAGCCACATGTGTTAAATGTGTTCAGAGCAGTTAGCACTTTGGCAAATCTTCAAGACAACCCACCTTCGTCTAATTGCATTTTATCCCCCACTTTGGAAGTGCGATGACATTTAAATATAAGTCTTACCCGTCTAACACGGCCTGACTCCAACAAAAAATTGGCAGTCATTTGGGAAAAGAATTTGTCATTTTATCCAATTACACACAAGTGAAGTATAACATGCTTTTTATCATTGTAAGACGTGAGGAATTAAGGTTGTCATATCAACACCGGTTCTTCATGGTCTCAGCAATGGTAGTTAGTTATAGAAAGAAGACCATTTGACGAGCATGCAAAGGAGAAGGATGTAAAAGTGATTCAGAGTACCATTTGGACAGAGCAGAACAATCAGATCATTTTGTTTTTAATCCAAAACGATTGTGTTTGGACTGTTGACAGAGCATACAGTCGTGATTTTCTATACGCCCGAGGACAATGCTTTGTGTTTCCCTTTGTCCCTGTAATATAACACTATCCCATAGATAAGCACATAACCGTACATTAGGAGACCGTTTTCAACAAAAGACCAAACGCTCGAGGACTGAAACGATCTTTTGCTCTCCCTTTGTGTGTCTGTCCTCTATCGTAAAGCCATACATGTACAAACCCACCCAGATTTGTTTATGGTGTAAATCGAGGATTTCTATTGTTCCTCTTCCCTTTTCCTTTGTTTATACTCTTAACTTTTTTGCAACAGCTCTCATTGGTTTTGTACACATTTTCTAACTGAGGAGTCCTCAATTTGGTTCCTGTCCTCAATTCATCGATGATGTTGCACGTGTGTGTCCTCTATTTACCCCATAAACACGCACACTTAAGACTTAAACACAAAGAACAGCAGGCTTCGCCCTATGGCCAATTAAAAAAAATAATAAACCAGTTGCTTGCCCCTGCCTCCCTTTTTTCCCCCTCTTTTTTTGTTTTAATCATAAATTCTCAATATATTTTGTCATTTTATTTGTTTTCAGCAAAATTGTATGCAATTTCAAATTCTGGTAGAAAGGGTGACAGTTACTGGGGCATAAAAGTATCGGCAACAGGGTCAAGAAAATGGAAAAAAATCAATCCGCCATCTTGGAAAATCTGCAATCTTGGTCAAACTGATAGGCCACTTTTTCCTTTTTTTGTTTAAAAATCCCAGATGGGACACTATTTTACTTGACCTAAATGTGTAATGAATCATTCTTTGGTGATTTGACAGCGGTCGTGATTGGTTCAGTCCTGCTGTAGATAGATAGGGAGCATCACAACGAAACTACTTCTCTGAACCGTGTCTCCCCAATGAGGTCATGAACTTCCAACAAGCGCTGACCACTCACATAACGAGACTTGAGAGACTAATTGGTGGAAATGCCTGTGCCGATCCAACAGGACCCTTGGGACACCAACTTTGCAGGTAACAGCCCCCCCCCCCCCCCCCTCACCAGCCGATCGCTAAATACACATCCATCGAAATCTAAACCGGAAATATCAAATCATGCTGATTCACTAATCGATCATTTGGCCCCAACTTGCCGCTCACTGTGGGTGTTGACAGAAATCTTGAGTAATTTAGTCAGATTTTTTGGGGGTTTAATGGTGGAGAAACATTAGAAATAGCCAAGGTGATTATGAACCCCATTAGAGTAGAAAAAAAATACAAAAAGAAAAAAAAAAACTTATATCAGTAAATCTCCTTGCCTTTTTATACCTTGAAGGTCAATATACAAATTGTCGCACTTTTGGATGGAAAACCGTAGTTCCACATTTTATAACCTTCAGCAGAATAAAATATTAACCGTAATTGCCATTTACAACTCCTTTTTTGTAATACTGAAACAGTATTGTGCATTCCAACTTTACCAAGACACTGTCAATAGAGGGCGCAATACCCACTTTCTGTGTAGGATTGTGGAAGTTTGATGGAAAGAACAGCTTTAGAAAGTTATTAAGTTTCATCTCAAAATGTACTTTTTGTTGGTGTATGTGATTTGATAAAGATTCACTTTAGTTGGTCTTAGGTTTTTGAGTTGTGTTTTGGGTTGGATGTACATGTATGGCTTTACGATAGAGGACAGACACACAAAGGGAGAACAACAGATCCTTTCAGTCCGTGAGCGTTGGGTCTTTTGTTGAAAACGGTCCTTGATCGTACAGTTATGTGCTTAGTCTATGGGAGAGTGTTATATTACAAGGACAAAAGGAAACACAAAGCATTGTCCTCGGGCTTACAGAAATTCACGACTGTGTGAACAAGTCTGTGGGTAAGCTCAAGATATATTGACTTAGCATAATGTACAGGGTGAGTGGGTTAGGTGGGCTGGGTTGGGTGGGTTGAGCAGGCTGGGAGGGTTGGGTTGGGTTGGGATCGGTTCGGCTGGGTTGGGTTGGGTTTGTTGGGCTGGGTTGGTTGGGTTTGTTGGGTTGGGATGGGTTGTGTTGGGTCGAGTTGGGTTTATGTTAGCCTTTAGTCAAGTCTCACACGCTTACCCGGACACTTGACATACCCTGGATGTTGGCACGTAAAAAGACTAGCACGAGTGGCGAAGCCGCGAGGGCCTTTACCATCTCGCAGAGAACGCTTATGTTTTTCTTTACATTTGTCTACCGATTTGGTAGACATGAATAATGCATGACATGTTGTGAATGCATGCGCGTCTTGTTTTTAATAAGAACGCGTGTGGTGCGCGCCCTCGGGGGTGCGCGCACGCGTCATCACCTCCAAAATGGCATGTTCGTGGTGATTGGTTCATATATATCCGCAACGTGCATGATTCATATTATTCATATGTACTTGAAAAAATGCATAATGATTAGCTCCACGAGATGGTAAAGGCGCTCGTGGTCTTTTTTCGTGCCAGAATCTGGGGCGCCACGCGTCCAGGTAGACACGCGCGCTTTGACTAAAGGCTAGGTTTATGTGGGATAGGTTGGGTTTATTTGAGCTGGGGCTGGGCTACTTAAGCTGGGTTTGGCATATTCGGATCGAAGTAGGAAAAAGTACAACATCTGGTTAAACCAGTTCTTTCTAAAAAGGATACAGGAGTGGAATCCATTGACAGCAGACAATGCTGTGATTTGCTGGGCTTGCTCTAGTTGGAAGGACTTGACTAATTTGTAGCGGGAGTTACTCTGGTACCTGTTATTTCAGAAGAAAGGAAATATAAATGGAATCATTACCATCCATACCTACAACACAATATGTTCAATAATCCTGATAACAAAAACTGACACTTTCTGGATAGTTTTGCTACGAAGCATTTTTTTAACCAACAACATCCAATACTGTGAAGTATCATGTGGCTCATTCTTGAAACTTAAACACTAAGATTACATTAAAATAAAAATGCTAGTGGCTCGACCATCCGATCCTGAGTAGCATCAGAATATTATTAACAACTTGTTGGCCACCAACAGATTTTGGGAACTTTGTGGTTAATCCCATGTGCCTTTAAACTATCCGCTCCGTTCACAAGTACCCCCTCACCGGCAAAGGAAGTACAGTTGGGGGTGACCGACCGACGCCATCTTGCCTGACTGCAATATTTTGCCGTGAAGCACGGTAACTACATGTGCATAGTACAAATCCCCTGGTGTACGTGCGTCACACACAGGGAACGGTGCGCACGTCAACCAGCGAAATGTATGTGTCCCGCCCATGGGACGTCGATGCTAGGTAAAAGGGCGCCCTCTTTTGTTGGCGCACGAAGCCCATACTGTTTTCAATTTTTTTTTGTAAGAATAAAATTCACAAATCTTAACCAGCTAAATAGACACCAAGTCCACTAGGACGCAGAAATATGAAACTCCATGTGAAAAATTATACAATCGACAGAAATGACGTAAACAGAGTGTTGCAAATGACAATCACTGTTCTTGTTTCAAGAAAAAAATGAGTCGGTTTGTTCTGTAGTACTTTCCTCGTTTTCATCCTCTGCGATCCGGGTTCTGTTCCCATCCAGATTGACATGTGGATTGGGTCTTCGGACCCTCGGAATGATTCCAAGGGTTTCCCAGGATTGTTTCTCTTCTGAGGGTTTTCCTCCCACCTCTAAACTGAATATTTCTACCATCTCTTCTGTGTTCTCCAGTTATGGTGTTTTTGTTTAAGCTTCCAGCTACAGTGTTTGTGCATTTTTGAAGGTTTTTAAGAACCCCTTCATTTCAGGGGAGTCATGTTGGCATAATGGTTCTTTCTTTGCCTTCCACCTCTGTGACCCAGGTTCGATTCCTGCCCACATCCGTGCAGATTGGGTTTTCAGTCCCTATTCGACTTAGGTTTTCCCTAGAAATACTTTGGGGTTTCCCTCCCACCTCTAAAACTGTCATTTCTTCACATTGTCTTCTTTCTACAGTGCTTAGGGCTTAAGTTTTATTGCCAGAAAAAAAATAATATAAGCCAAAGAATTGAAACAAATAAAAATGGACACACTGACTAAAACAGTAGTGCATGCTAGCACGTGTTCAGTGTAACGTACGAGATGACTTCGCAAAAGAATTGAAAATATTTTCAAGTGACTGATCAGCCATTGGAGCATCTTCACGGTCACGTAACTTCAACTTGTTCACACGTGATGACAGACGAATCAGAAAAAATAGGAAACAGCTGACTAAAACAACAGGACAAAAATAGGCTTTTAACAAAACTACGGGGACGGTGGGACATAATGTTGAAATCCTGTCCCGGGAAACACAGGACGGTTAGTCAGCTTGCTTTTATCAGAAGTTTTGGGGGTTGTTTGGAGGGGAGGACGCTGATCTTTAACATTTTACCTACAAAAAGCAAATATATTTGCTCAAAATGGCAACTGGCAGAGACAAACAGCAGATCTACTGGTTTGAATGTCAAAGCTTACTGACTGTTTTAAAGGCAATATGCAACATTTGCAAACATCAAAAAAAAAAAAAACCAACCAAAATTATTATGAAATACCTTACTGGACTGTTAGTGAATGACAGTCTAAAGCATCCTGTAAAATCATGGCATACTGTTGTGCTGACATTTTCAAAAAAGGTTGAACTTGTGAAACAATATCCAAAGATGGTCGGCTGAACATCGTTCACGATCGTTGCAAAAAAAAAAAAAGGATTTTTTTTCCCCAAATAGTGCCCCCAATTTACCAAATTTAGTTAGCCCACATTTTGTTTGCAATCGGTTACACATCTGTGAACGGGTACAAGCCAGCTAGACTGGTTCCCTGACAATTCCCAGACGTCTATAAATTGTTCCATTTCATCTGAAGTGAGGTCAGGGAACCAGACTACAAGATCATGATTTTGTCAATGGTTTTTCCAGTATCTCAAACACAAAACTTTAAACAAGTCAGTGTAACAATATTTGCAATAAAATACTGACCCCATAATCCATCCACAATGATTTGTGAAAATTACAGCAAAACCAAATGTTGTATATTCCCTTTATTCCATCTCAGGCAAATTATTCCTTAAATTAAGGAGTTAAAGCTAGTATATCTGTGCTATTCCCAAGAATTTAATTCAATGGCTTTTCATACTTATGAAGTATTACTGAAAAAACACAAAAAAATAGAGTGGGCTAGAAGGGAAAAAAAGCATCTGGTACACTACTTAGGTGGGAAAAAGGGGGTATCGTGTACCCTCGGAAATCAACGTCCATAGATCCGAAAAAATTCGTAGAAACCGAGGAATATAAATAACAAGATTCACAACATCATAAATAGGAATAAGATATCAAATAGATGATTACTTTTAAAATAAAGATGTATCACTTTAAGTCCAAACCAATACACCAATAAACCAAAAATCCTCCCTGTTGCGTCATTTGTTGGTAACCCTAACGATGACTTTTAGACAAATGGAAGACGCGGGTCTAGAAAAAGGGTGCGTGAAAAAAGACAGCTCCAACAAGTAATATTTGTATTACTTAATACCAGAAATAAATGTGATTTTTCATATTAATATACATGAAGTTTCTTAGAACTAAATAATGATGCAGATATCTCCCGGCAGTCAACATGTTCTTTAAACATTTCTCCGCTTGGAATACGAGTGCTACAATGACGACCACAACTGCTACAAGTTACTTCAGTCTGAGCAGGAACCTCAAGAATTAGCCCCAACATTTAAACCAATGAACCACGCAACCTCGGGCTAAGTTTCGTGCATTAACAATTCCCTAATGAGTTTCATCCGTAAGGCGCAGACATAAAAATAAAAAGGAAGTTCAATCCGACAAAGTCCCGAAGGCATAATAAGCAGTGATGTTATTTACGATCAGATCTATTTACTACCCTCGACACCCACCCTTCATACACATGCTCCTTAATCAATCAGAACAGCATCAACTGGCTTATAAACCAATCCATGAATCACCTTTTAATGTCGTCCACTGAGGTATCCAAGACGAACTTGTGCAGGTAGAGAGCGCCCCCGGAGGCGAGCAGCAGGAACTTATCAACGTAGTAGAACCTCGCCGCTTTGACTTCCTTGGCAAAGACTCTGTTGCTCCCCTGTGTGGGAGAGCAGTCCGTACGCTTGGAAATTAGGAAATATCAAAAGCAGCTTTCAGACGCTGCAGACATGTAAGGTTGGTAGGGGTAGCCATTAGCCACTGACCTTTTGTAAAGCTCCCTAGATTTGTGGTTCACTTAGGGGCTGGCTCTCTGTAGGTTTGTTGAATCTTTGAGTAGTTAAAAAAAGGTGGCTGAACAGAAACACTGCCTAAATATTGCCATCTTTCACAAAACAAAACCACTGTTGAGTTAACATTTACAAGTTGTTAACAGTGTCGGGGACACTGACGTTGAGGAAATAGGAGACAGACCTTGTGTCTGTTTAAGACGTGGGTTTGGATGATGATCAGCTGGACAGAGAGATCATCGTGGGTTCGAGTCGCACCCGAGTAAAATTGTGAATTTTTCCTCGCAAACCCTCGGTATACTGAGAATATAATGTTTATAAAATACTTCAGCCAAGAGCAAAACGCAGTTTCAAATTTATATCTCACCGACGCAAATTCCATCATATAAAATGGAAAGAGAGAATTATCAATGCTGACGTTCCAGAAAGAGCACAATTTAAAAAGAAGTGTACTACAGGTTATTGAAGAAAGACAGAAGAAGTGAATCTGACACATTTTGAGAGGGAACAGTCTACTGAAGGATGTCTTACAGGTTGTCTCCAAAACAAAACAAAGTTAGCGCTCAAACAACATTTCTTTTATGAGGAAACTAAATCGTTTTTTTTTTGTATTTACCATGAGATGATAGAGTGTTTCTTTACCTTGACAGGATTTTTGTTCTGTGTGATTTGGACATTTTGTTGAAACGTTACGGCAAAGCTGGTACAGACACTTTTTTTCACCTTCTTGGTATTTGAATGCCTTTCATTAGTTACCAAGTGGCCCAACTTGGAATTCAAGTCCTTTCATTTAATTGGCTGTATCTCTGGACTGGGGTGTCCAAATGAGATGGGATAAAGACCATTGTGTAGAGTATTTACTACACCTTCAGAGTCTATAGATAAGTTTTGCAAAAAGAGAGTGCTAGTATTTTAATATTTATGGATTGACAGCTACGTTTTTTTAGACACCCAAAGAAGGATGAATCAAGGAGAAGAGGCAAGAGGAAGAAGAAAAGAATTACTTGATGGGATTAAGAGAGGGAGTTACGTGGAGATGAAGAGGATGGCCCAAAACCGAGTAGCATGGAGGGGTTTATAATGTTTATCTGTAATTCATGTATGAGGGCCTGCCTATAGTAGACCACCAAAGATGATGAACTACCGTTGATGAAGTGTTGGTGAAACAAATAATTTTCTGAAAAAAGTCTTGAGAAGTTACTCTCAACCCAGTTTACCTCCTCTTTCAATCTTTGAAATGCAAGGGGAGTCAGGTTGGCGTAGCGGTACTTTCCTCGCCTTCCACCGCTGTGACCCGGGTTCGAATCCCGCCTGGGCCAATATGTGGATTGGGTTTTCAGTCCCTGCCTGATTCCGTGGGTTTTCCCCAGAATATTCTTCTGGGCTTTTCCTCCCACCTCTAAAACTGTAACTTCTTCTCATTGTCTTCTCTCCACAGGTTTCTTCAGGCTTGCGAGCTACAGTGCCTAGGGCGCTTTTGAGGAATCCTTGGTTTCATTACCAGAAATGATTAATAATAATAATAATAATAATGATAACTCGAAGGTTGTTTGAGGGTGTTCATGATTGACACACTCAGGAAATTACCATTTCTATCGAAAAACTTCTTTTCCTTTTTACAGTGACAATAAACATCAATGTCAGCAACGTTTGGGACCAGGGAACCAACCAGGAGGAATTTCTCCACACTTTAATCCTCTGCAAGCTTTGGTAAGAGGTCTAGGTCTTGGGCTTAGGGAAAACATGAGAAAGGAAGCACGTATTGCGATGACGGTCATTTCCCAAGAGCTACCCCCTGGCTACTTGACTGATCATTGTCAGCGGCAAAGACAACACTACGGGCTCAAATGTACACCAGCACCCCTTGCTCCCCCTGGAGCATGTAGTGGGCATGTTTATGGCACGGATCTCACCTTATCAGCGGTTCTCAGCTTTTCCGCATCCGTTGCGCCGACGCTGCGGTCAATGTGACTCAGGGTGAGGACCGGGTCCGAGGCAGACTTGGACCAGATGCGGGCGGTCTTGTCATCGGCGGCCGTGAGCAGCCATTGGCCGTCGTGGCTCCAGTGGACGGTGTTCACAGCTGCATTGTGCCCTGTAAACGTCATTGAAAGAAATCCACAAAGTCAGCTTTATTTTTCTTAAACCAATCTGTGAGGCATACTGGCAAAATGAGATTGAACTGGGCACAGGCCAAAGTGGAGAAAAATGCAAAAAACGCAAATGGGGTAATTTTTTTTTTTTTTGATTTTCAGATTTCAGATGTCTATTTACACATATTTTAAAGAAATAATATTAAAAAAAAGAAACAATATAAAAATCATGGAATGCAAGTGTTTTTAAGGTAAAACAATGGCAACTACAAACCTCAAACCTTTAAAAGGCTTTCTTTTCAGTATTTTACTTTTTTGAAATGTCGATAAATGCAAACTTTAGACCGTCATAACATGCCAACGGAATGTCCGATTGAAGTGCAACAAACAGTATTGTAAGGAGAATTATATTCTTGTTCCTAATACTTCTGCCCAGTTCTGGTTCATTTTGCCAGAACGCCTCACATATAAAAAAAAAGTTCCAAGGTTTTAGCAGTGAGGCTGGTTTATACTGGCAAATTGGTCAGACAAGAATCAACGCTGACAATTTGCAAAAGTTGAATACATAGCTCAATAAATTTTTTTACAGGGACGTTTCATAACATCAAATCTGCTCCTGCACCCGATTTCATCAAACTCTTCGTAACTTATGATGCATCGCAGCGATGTGACGCGTCGTATCTCTACGATGCGTCGCAGCTGCGACGCGTCCTGCGATCCATTTCACAAAACACGTCGTAAGTGCGACGCGTTGTAGAGGTATTTATAGCACAACTTAGTGACTGTTTTATGTATTAAGTCAGCGTACAGTAAATAGTTGTCTGATATTCAACAAAGAGTCGTCGGATCTCAGCTCGAAATTTGTTCAAACGTTAAACAAATTGGCAGCCGTGCGATGCAATTTTGAAGGAAAACAAGCTCTCATTGGACTGTATAGCTACTTTGAAATTTCAACTCTAATATTCCGGTCTAATTCATAATTATTCAATGAAATTTCTATTTACAACTATACACACATTGCCTCGGTATTATAATCTCGTTTATGTAATGTTTATGGCATAAAACTGGCTTAGAAAATGACTCTACTTATTTTGCGAAGACCACTATACACGTCGTAACTTGCGACGTGTTTTAAGCCGTTGTCAAGGAACTTACGACGCGTTCAACACATCACAACTTTTGTGAAATGGATGATACGACGCGTCACGAGTTGCGACGTGTTACACATCGTAACTTGAGTTGCGACGCGTCGCAGCGCTTCGTGAAATCGAGTGCTGATTTGCATTCTCTGTAAAGTATGGACAAGAACAGATACATACATTTTGCTCATCGTGAATAACAAAAACTACAAGTAATGCGAATGGTCCCACGAGGCTTCAACCAACCTGTGAAACTTGTTCCTTTGCCAGTCAGTGGCATCTTGAATAGCTGAGCAGATTTATTGGCCAAGGCACAGGCCAGATTCTGACCATCACCTACAACAACGAACAACAAACAAATGCAGAATAAATAAATAAGACAATGAATAAAAATGATGTTCCGATCATAGCAGAACATTTTTCAAAGTAAAAAAAAAAGTTCGAGTATTTACAGGAATCTAAATTAAGGGCCCTTTAAAGGGAATATACATGTACAACATTTGCTTTTGCTGTAATTTCCAGAAATAGATGGATTTGGGGATAAGTATTTTATAGCAAATGTTGTAACACTGACCAGTTAAAAGTTTTGTTTACGGTATGTATTGTCAAACTTGGAATGGAGCAAAAAAGACTGGTGTTACATTAATTGTCTTTGTTTCAAAACCACTGAATCGAATCGAACAAAGAGTTCACACAACAAAGAAAAGTGTTTGGGCTCATCCATTCTATGATTAAATTTCAAATTTATTTCATAAATTTTATTCTGTACATCCTCCAGAGGACATTTCTTTGGGACACTCTGAACATCAGTTTGTTTCATTTAAAAGAGTCCATGACATGATGTTCAAACCGAAACTTATCTTGTCCAAAACGTGTGAAAACTATGAGACATCCCTTTTTTTGTTAAAAGTTCAGTAAAGTCCAGGTTTTTAAGGTTGCAGACCAGTAAATCGGTCCGAAATTGCCTACGCCAGCCAAATCACGATTTGCATGCCCTCAAAATCTTCAGTATTTGAGCATGCTGTGGGCCATGAACTTGAGGGTTTGTAACAAATATGGGTGGAAGCCGTGCACAGGACTGTGAGCTTGTAGTTCCGTTCAATTTGGATGAAATTGGGGCCCTTAAAGCGCTCTATTTTGCAATGGAGTGTAGGCATCGTTTTCAAAATGGCGATGGGCTTCAGGACTATTTTCAGGGGTGATCATCTTCGGATGGAAAGTTCTCCTGAAAGTCATCAGTTGACCCCCCCCCCCCACCCCGAAAATTGAAAAGAAAATGAAAGATGATGAAATAAGCTTTAATTTGATGTGTGTCTCGAACACCTTGGAGAGTTGTGAGTATTTTTCCCGAATTTCTGAAGTGGGAGCATTTACCATTGGGGTCTATGGAAGTTTTTTTACTGGTCTGCAACCTTAAACATGTAAAATATTCCATGCTTTTTCTGACAACTGAGGGCGCTGTTGCTGTAGTGCCACTTCAGACACACACTCTTCAGTTTCGAGGTTTTCTGTGCAAATTGTGAACCCGAATTTGTGGTCACTGAAAAACATTTGTGCAGAAATTCTGTTCACAGACTTACTTTCCTGTGCTGATACTAAATTTTTCACCAAACCAAATAATTAGCATGCGGATAAAAACCCAAAAATTCTGGAAAGATTTGACGTTGGAACAGCATGCCTAAAATGACATCACAGTATTGCTCATGAATATGGACATTCGCATGAGCAGATAAACTAAAATGGCATCAAAACACCCCTGAAATTGGTAAAATGAAGAATGAAAATAAAGATGGGTATTATAAAAATGTATTATAAGGACTGCATTAGAAAAACACTATTACATGTGTCCTTTAAAATCAAAACACAACCTGATATATTTATCTAAATGCATGAAGAGAACAGTTAAGACATGGGGCATAGGACCGTTTATATCAAGTTTCAGCACTTTCATGCCAATCAGTTTTGAGAAATTCTTGACAAATCATCTCCCATTTTTGTGAGGTATTTATTTCATGGCCTTTGGTTAAAGAAGACAGAGTCCTTACATAGGCTTTATGAGGGGCACGTTGACAAACCACAGCCAAGCAAGCATTGTAAACACCGTGCTCAGATACTCAAGGAACTCCCAAGTTTCAATAAATATAGCTCACCCTCGAGCAATCACCGGATTTTTTTCTCAGAGTAAGGCACTGAAGGCCTTCAACTTGAAGGGATTATTAATAGGCGGGAAACAACGATTTATTAGGGCGGTAATTAAAGCCTGTTCACCAATTTCTGGGAAACTTTTCCACAGGAAAACCACCTACTCTTTTCATTAACCAATAACATTTAAGTAGAGACCATGGGTCAGCATTTTTTGTAAACCTCATGTTCACTGCAGTTTTTCGTTCACAACAGGAGACAGACCATCACTGCCCCCTCCCAGCGGGATACCGACTGACATTTCCAAGAGGAACATAGCCAGTCACTGAGAGGATGTTGCCATATCCCTCCGATTTCCCCTTGAAGGAGCATTTTTTCCCTCAATCTGGACCCTCTTAAGAAGCTGGATAGACTGCCAGTTGGAACTTTCTGGACCCCCTGCCATGCTCGGTCCATTCTGTCTATGGTTACTATGTTTCCCAACACTCCTCATCAATGGGGCGTTCGTAATTGAGCCTCTAAAGGGCGCCCTCAGAGTCCAGGGGAGAAAATCTCTGAACATCTCCAGATGCGGTCAAAAATTGAACTAAAAGATCTCTCCCAAATGACGTCACTGCCTACAGATTACCACGTGATCGGCATTTTGGGAGTCGAATTTTCATGACGCAAATCAGCTGTGCTGTGTTTCGAAGAAATTTCGAGCAACATGCGAGCGCGTTTAGAACGTTTTGCACACTGTGCGTACACACACCTGAAAGCGTTGAATACGCAGTTGTAATTTTCCTACGAAGATGGCTGTCTTTACTATGAGAGGGGTCTAATTCTACAGACAGCAATGATTGTTAATGGAAGTTAGCTCTTCTGAAAGACTCACAACAAGGCAGTACTTTTATAACCCTAATCCCTTCAGTGATTTACTATAACCCTTCCTCACTCCTGCAAAATGCAACACCAAATATGCTAAACTCTACAGCCAAACTGTTGGACTCTGATTATGGTGGTGCATGCCTGACCCCACGTAAAGCATTATCAGTTTACTAGTGCAGTACTCACTCCAATAGATTCCAACAAAACATGCAGTTGGATTTTGAAGGGTTGGGGTGATTAGGGTGAATTTATAATGATCTCTGGGGAAAAAAATACAGGGAAAGCAGGGCTGTTATTTTGTTTGGCAGCAAAATAGGGTTATTGTTTTACAGTCTTCACAGACAATCTGCAAACTTACTTGATAATTTTTTGACTTCCATGTGAAATAATACTTCATCAGTTCTCTGCATCTTTCTCATGACATTCCAGCTCCCAGAAACCAAGGCAATGGACAAGCATATATATAGGAAAAGTTAATCCCATTAAATGGGTCTACGGACAAATATTAACCAGTTTGTGCCAGCGGCTGTGATAACACGCACTGGCTGTTTTTATGCACGGGTTAAGTCGTCAAGATTGCCTCGACTCACCTCCGGGTGCCGACTAAACACGCTAATCCCTGGTGTCTTTTGTACACGACAAAAAGTCCATGTACAGTGATGTAGTCTGTGGAGGTGGACCGTGTGCTGACCGTTGTGTGGGCCGTTGTGCATGGCCTATTGTACAATTTTACACTGCAGTGCACACCCCGGAGTAATGAAACATATGAGGTTTCAGCAAGAAATATCGTACTAATACTGTTGAAATCACCCTTGTTAGTTAGTATTTGTGGCATTTGCCTGTACATCAGAAGTTTGCTGTGAAATATTGCTTTTTGAAAATTTCGAAATTTCCGGCAAAAATAAACCCGGCGCGAAGTGGTTAAACATCGGCATTTCTGCACAACTTGAAAATGCTGAAATGGGTAGTAAGCTGGGTTGCAATGCACATCAAATTCATCAATGGTACATGAGTTTGGATGCATGCAGTTACAAACTATTATGCATACCTATCACCAGTGCAAACTAAAAGTATGTAGATAGCATGTATAGAGGGCACGAAAAGCTCAGTAAAGCTAGTCCTAGAGAACACAAAATGCTATTCAATTGATTCACTGAATGCGAGGGGGGGGGGAGAAGGAAAGGGGGGGGGGGATCCCATACGATACACTGCACGGCTCTCTTCACCAAAAACCAGGCTTAGTCATAAAGCCTGTTGCATACAGTACCTTTCCAGGTTTACCAGTTCACCGGTTCACCGGATCACCGGTACAATTTTTCCACCAATGAGGTTAGACCGACCCACGTAGACTCATGCCCGGTTCCGTTCTATAATCAAATAACAAGATGGCCAGTCACATGATGACAAAATGGCAGCTGTTCATTTCCAACAACTGGTTTTGTTCAACTCGATTTTAAGGAGATTACACCGCCAATGAGCCTCACGTGATCGTTGGATACGGACCAAACATTGGTTGCAGAGACGAATAAGGCTAAGGGCTTTCCAACCTCGAAGCTGAATTTCGTTATGAGGAAGGGTTTTTTTAGTGAATTTGTCCATTTAACGTCTGTTTCTATGGGGGCTGCCATTTTGAATCAAGTAATTCCCTTTGTACATCTGATTAGTTAACATAAATATCGCGTCCAGTGAAATCAGAATGCTGCCCGCACACCTTTCTGGTGACATCGGATCCCGTGACATCGGATCCGGTGACATCATATCCCATGAGATCGGAGGAGAATAAATCAAACATGTTTGATTTCATGCGGTCGCCCGGTGTACGGTCAGATTGGTCCCATTTTTTCAGCACACACCAATGATGTGGTGAACGGGTAGAATCGGAAAGGTTTTTGCGGCGGGATTTAGTGACTGTCAGTCAGTCAGCCTCTTAGGATAAAAGGACAACCCCGGTCACAATAGTTTACAGTTGAAAAGCAAAATCCAAACATCACCAGCCCGATATTTGCGAGCCTGCAACCGATTTCATGAAACTCATCGTAACTTATGATGCATCGCAGCGCTGCGACGCGTCGTATCCCTACGTTGCGTCCCAGCTGCAACGTGTCCTGCGATCCATTTCACAAAACACGTCGTAAGTGCGACGCATCGTAGGTGTATTTTTAGCACAACTCGTTGACTGTTTTATGTATTTAGTAAGTTTACAGTAAATAAACAAAGAGTTGTCGGATCTCATCCGCTCAAAATCTGTTAAAACGTAAAACAAAATGGTGGCCGTGTGATGCAATTTTAAAGGAAAACAAGCTCTAGGTAGACTGTATAGCTACTTCGAAATTTCAACTGCAATATTCCAGGCTAATTCATAATTATTCCATAAATTTTCTATTTACAACTTTTACACACATTGCCTTGGTATTACAATCTCGTTTATGTAATGTTTATGGCATAAAACTGGCTAAAAAAAGGACTCTTCTTATTTTGTAACGACCACTAGACACATCGTAACTTGCTACGTGTTTTATAAGCCGTTGTCAAGGAACTTACGACACGTTTAACTCATCGCATGTTTCGTGAAGTGGATTTACGACGCATCGCGAGTTGCGATGTGTTACATGTCGCAACTCGAGTTGCAATGCGTCGCATCGTTTAGTGAAATCGGGTGCTGGAAAAATCACCTCATTTCATATCTCAACCACCATGATTGATGACACTACAAGGTGCACTTGTCTCTAGCAAAGGCTTTCCTGTTGGCAAATTTCAGCTAAATTCTGCTGACGTGTACTGATCACTTTATTTCGGAAATGAGTGGCAGCCCACCTATCCCCCCCCCCCCCCTTCCAAAAAATCAAAATTGGCCCCCTGAGCTGGAATGTTGCCAGCTACCATGACCCCTTGGTCTGGAGCATGTTACGCTTATTACTCTTGATTAAGAACTCCCTAGGGGGTGGGCTATAGATGGACCAGGTGATGGCAACTTGGGCAAATGGGGAGGGGGGGGGGAGATGGAAGAGGGGGTAGAGTTGGGGCAGGGGGTAGAGAGAGGGGGACAGCACAAGGGTGGACTTGAAGTGACTGGGGGATAACTCACTACGTGACTCCTATCACATGCTTGGATGTGTTGTTTAATATTATAGGGACTCCTACCGTGGCCTGGGTAGTGTCCACTAGGCATTTGGCATTGCACCATGGGACAGTCTATCAATCAGTAAATTATCCTCGTCGCCAGAGAAGCCGAATAGGAGGAAACACGGGGAGTGAGAAGGAAACCGGGAGGGCGGGGTAGAGCTAAAATGTACACAGAGTGACAGATTTTTTTCAGTTAAAATCTCACGCAGTTTTTAAAAACTAGTTGTTTTTTTAAACTATCGCAATCAGTATTCTTAACAGTTCTTTTCATCGAATAATTGCCTACATAATTAGTGGCCTTTTATGGAATGAAGAATGAAAAACAAATTGCATTGATATACTGCCTTCATTTCAAATTGGCTCCAAGAGAACAATATATATACCAGAGAAAAACAGTGCTGCAACTGAGCCCATCACAAATCCATTACAACTTCAGTCACAAGTAAATCACGAGTCAACTCCCAAGTCTGGTCACAAGTACTGACAAACAAAGAATACATGTAGGCCTACTTTTTGTTTTACCAATTCATCTGAAAAGCTTGTGGCTTGATTTGAAACAAAATCTGCAACTGACTTTTGATGGACTCCCGATGGGCTTTGCAATGGCACTGCCAAGAAGCGTGGAATACATCAGTAAAGTTCACAGTTTGTGCCCACATTTATTGGCCAAGTTACATGTTTCGTTTCTTTAGTAACATTTAAACAGTGTTGTATTCGAGTCCCTGCAGGCCCATCACAAGTCCATCGCATGTCCATCGCATGTCCATCGCATGTCCATCGCATGTCCATCGCATGTCCATCGCATGTCCATCACATGTCCATCACATGTCCATCACATGTCCATCACATGTCCATCACATGTCCATCACATGTCCATCACATGTCCATCACATGTCCATCACATCTCCATCACATGTCCATCACATGTCCATCACATGTCCATCACATGTCCATCACAAGTCCATCACAAGTCCATCACAAGTCCGTCAGTCTCAAGTCAAGTCACTAGCTATTCAAACGAACTGTTACAAAAACATTCCTTTGTCATTGTTCATTCCGTTACATGTGACTGACTTTTTGGAAGGACTTGTGATGGACTCAAATACAACACTTGCGTTTACAAAGCTAACAGCTTTGTGTAGCACCACAGCATTCAGGCCAGACACAAAGTTTAGAAGGCGAGTGTGAAGTAAATTTCACGGCACAAACATTCACAAACTTGTAGCATTCGGTGTGCGTGCCGGATGCAAGGTAGCTATGCGCTTCCTGACTGGGGAGTCAGGTTGGATAGGTATTTTCCCCGCCTTCCACCGCTGTGACCAAGGTTGGCATCCTGCCTAAGCCAACATGTGGATTGGGTTTTCAATCCCTACCTGATTCTAATGGGTTTTCCCCCAGAACATTCTTCTGGGGTTCTCCTCCCACCTCTAAAACTGTAATTTCTTCTCATTGTGTTCTCTCTACAGGTTTCTTCAGGCTTGCGAGCTACAGTGCCTAGGGCGCTTTTGAGGAATCCTTGGTTTCATTACCAGAAATACATAATACAAGTAATAAACTAGACTTATGTTTGTGGGCAAACACAGGGCTGTTTGGGTATTTTATGACATATATGTGACATGTAAAGTTTCAAGTATAAGTTCCATCCAGGAAGGATGTGTAGTTCTGTTTATAATAAATGGTGGTATATAAATATGTGATTACATTCTCATAGGGCTTATGATGTCACATGTCACGTGATGACGTCATGATGAAGTCACATCAATTTTCATCTATAATCATCTATAACAAGCTGTTGCTAGAGGGCACTCTAACATTTTATGACGTCCCCATTTATATTTTTGGAAAGAACAACTTAGCCAGAGCATACATCGTTGAAAGCAAGTTCACATCTTTTACCAATTTTAAATTACATGGCACTTCCAGTTTCAACCGGAAGGAAGGGTCACGTGATTTTGCACGTAATATAAAAAATGAAAACCCTTGATTATTCTATCAATTCCCGCAAACGTCAAGTTCAGGTCTCTGACGGTTGATTTTATATTGACTTTCAAAGATTACATTTATCAATCGTTAACATGACGTCACGTGACCCCATTATGACATCATCGTAACGTCACTTCAATTTTCATCTATAACACATCCCGGTCTACGTACATACCAATTTTCACCCCAATTGGACTTGTAGTTCTGAAGATATAGGCCTTCGAATTATGCACTTTTAATATGACGTCATTTGCCATGTGATGACATCATCGTGACGTCACTTCAATTTTCATCTATAACACATCCTGGTCTAGGAAAATACCAGGTTTCAACCAAATCGGACTTGTAGTTTTGGAGATATCAGCCTTCAAAACATGCACGTATATTGTGACGTCACGTGACTCGTGATGATGTCAATGTTCGGCACACAACTTCAGATGCTGGTCTAAGTGTGTGCAAAGTATAAAGACAATCGGATTGATTTTAGTGCCCAAAGTGCCGGGCACGATGAAAACGTGCACAAATGCTATGGACAAAAGTCTAAAAAAGAAAAAAAAAAGAAAAAAAAAAAAAATTACGAAAACAAAGGTGGTTTCGGCATGTTTTTGCCGAAACAGCCAAAAAGTCCTGCCTAAACTCTCTGAATGTAACCGTTGAGGGTGTACTTATGAATGGCATCCATTGGATCCAAAATGTAGGTTACACAGTAAGTGTTCTATATTTTTTCTAGACTTCACTGCGAAACCCTTTGTTTTTAGCATTCAGGATGGCAGTACTTTCAAAACAAGCCAGTCCAATAAAGGGTTAATCAATTCAAGATCATCAATGAACCTCTACACAAAGCAAAACAGCATGAATTTGCTTTCGCGGCGGAATATGGATTGATTGAGGCCAAGTCAAACAATCTCCCGCACATCTATCTCTCTAGATTTTTTATCGCTCCCCCGTGTCTCTGTGAGACTCACCTGAGAAGGCAATGGAGTTAATTGGAACGCTCTGGTTGCCGACATCAATCTTTGTCTTGACGGTGGTGGGAGGATCGGCATCAATTGGGTATTGCTTCGTAACCGACCTGGAAATACAAGAGGTCAACTTAGCTGGGATTGGGTTCATAGAGTTTAATAAAAAGGGAACTCTTCAAAACAAAACAAAAAGGAAATATAAAATTCTTGAGGTTTTATTTGTGAGGCGTTCTGGCAAATGAGATGGAACTGGGCACAGGCCATAGTGGAGAACAATTTAAAAAAACTGAATATGGGTAATGGTTTTTTTTTCATTTTCAGATTTATTGATATTTATAACCTTTGATATGTCTACCACACACAATCTTAAAGAAATAGTTTAAAATCGTGGAATAAAAGTCTTTCCTAAGAAAAACCATTTGGCATCTTTCATTTGCACGACTACAAAACTCAAAACTTTAATGGCCGTTTTCTCAATACTTTACTTTTTGACATGTCAATATTAAAAGTACAAACTTTAAACAGCCATAACTTGTCAACAGAATGTCCAATTGAAGTGCAACAAACAGTATTGCAAGGAGAGTTTCATTCTCTTTCCTAATACCCGCAAAAGCCCTCATTTCGACCTCTGCCCAGTTTGCCTCATGTTGCCAGAAAACCTCACATTTATAAGAAGTGGATTCAAAAACATCAGCGAGTTATTTTCACCAGGACTGGTGCTCAAGACGCTACATCATTATTACCCCTGCTCATTGGACCAATGAAACATTCCAAATACCATCTCAGCTCCCTGGGGAGTATGCAGCTCGGTGCTGCCTGTTAGGCGCAAGGAAGCTAAATATACCACACTAACTATCTCTGCCCTCACAGGTACCCATTTACTCCTGGGTGGAGAGAAGCAATGAGTGGCAAAGTGCCTTGCCCAAGGGCACACGCACCAGGCTGGACTCGAACCCACAACCCGCAGCTTTACCCGCAGACCACGAATCCAATGCCCTGATAACCACGAGGCCACAGCACTCCACAAAATGGTTGTTTATACCAAACCACATTTCCGAAGCAAATCAAGAGGAATCACTCACTGTACATTTTTGACTTCTCTTTTCTTACCTGGAGGCAGCCCCAGCAGACCCTGCTTTCTCTCTCTTAGCTGAGCTGGTCTTGACGACATTCGTCTTGGGAGAAAACATTTTAGCCCTGCAAAAAAGCAAACAGGAATTAGATATATCATGGCACTACTTACCAATTGAGAAGACACTTTTCTTTTTAGTTTCAATAAGGATTTTTTAAGTTGGGTAATTTTAAGGGCCAATGCAATGAAATTTTTTTAATGCAATCCTTCGAAATGTACCTTTGTATCCCATTTAACCTTTTTTTTTCAATTTTTGTTTTGCCATTTTCAAGGGTATTTTGGTGACTCTTTTGTTTTTATGCTAATACAAATTTCCATATTCATGAGCAAAAGTGTGATGTCATTTCAGGCTGAAACCTCAATGTTACAGCTATTTCAGCACCAAAAGTTGCTAGAATTTTGGATAATTCGCTGTCGTAAATTTTCTTTTCTTTGGTGATACGTTGTTGTGTCAGTACACGGCAATAAGCCTGAGTAAACTTTTTTAAAACAATCTCTTCAATAAGCAAATTTTGGGTTCACAATTTGAACAGAAAACCCCTACTGAACAGTGTTTGTTTCCCTGAAATGACATTACAGCAACAGCACCCTCAGTTGTTCGGAAAAGCATGGGAAATTTGAAATGTTTAAAGAAGTGCACTTTTCAATCAAATTAACCAAAAAGGGATGTCAAATAGTTTTCATACATTTAAGAGGAGTAGAAACTTGCACAAAGTATGTTCATAAAAAAAAAGATATTTGCTCCAATTTTCACAAATCTAAAGTAAATCTAAATTTGTACTTCCAATTTGTGTCCGTTTAACAAGGTCGTATCTCCTATTAATGATACGACAGATCAAAAGATACAATGATCAAAAGGTCCTGCATGTATCTCACTTGAAGTAACCCGGATGTACACACAAAGTCAATGGATGTCGAGATATGGCCTTGTTGCACAGAGCGTATTCGTGCGAGATACTACTTTCTTGCAGAATGGAGTTACGACCTTGTTGCACTCACGCGACGATATTATAATGATCTGACTTTCAGTGCTGGGCATTTGGTCCAATTACTGAAACTGTGACTGCAATGTCAGGGACCTTAAATCATGAAACCGGAGACAACATCCAAAGCTGAAAACAATGCCGCGATTTGGAAAATGCCCCTATATACCTCGGTGCACCCGTGTATCCTGAGGACTTGATCTTGCTCTTGAAAGTCAGAGCCTGGTCCTGTACTCCTGATGCTGATGATCCAGATGGCTTCTTGGTACCAGTCTTGCCACCTTGCGGCTTCGTCTTGAAGTTCAACTCCTTGGGTTTAGACGTCATCTCGGATCTCAAGACGGACGTCTCACTCAGGGGAGCACTGCAAATGGAATTAAGGGTCAACTTTCCAGTAAGAATAAACCAGACCACACTTCTATTGGCCATACAATGTTAGTATTTCTGTTTTGTTATTCTTTACTACATCAGTGACAAAAAGCAGAAAAATAGCGGGGTGCTGGTTTTAAAAGGATATTTTAAAAAGTTTAACTATTTTGACTGTGGAATTAACTGACGAATCCATGTTTTGACCAACTATAGCTAAGATTGCACAACAAACTGTTTTACAAAAATCGGATATGAGAGCACTTATAAAGAAAGTTAGACTCTCACAAAGAAAGTTAGAGCTCATTACAGATGCGCACATGTTGTTTTGGCGCTTCGTAACCACTTTGGAAAGCAGGAGAGACACTGGTTCGCATGCGTAAGGTGCGAAGTACGCACAACTTATAATAATCTGAATGTACACAAACCATTAAGTATCTTCGTGTGAACGCCAGGCGTCGACGGCAATGCATTCGAATGTCTCTCCCAGTGGTCTCCCCCAACTCTCCCTTTGTAACCATTGAGGGGGTACTTGTGCACATACCAAGTCTATACAAAGCTTATCACTAAAGTTGTCGACCAATTTACTGTTCAGCGTTTTGAGAATATAATTTTCCCACTGATCCCTCTCAACAGCAAAATTATCAACTATGTAGCAATTTCTAAACAGCTTCGTCTGTCCTATCCAAACTGTAATTCATTAAGAACACAGATACACAGTTAAATAGCAAAAACAAAATGTTCTTTTACCTAGAGATAACTGTAAGTTGTTCAGCATCATCATCTTGTGGAGAGGATGTGCTCGTTGATGTCTCTAAGGTGAGATTGTCGAGTAATGACGGAATGGAGGCAGGGCTTAGCTTGGATGGAGGAGGGCTTAGCTTGGATGGAGGAGGGGTCCTCAACTGGATCACATCTACAGCATTCTCAAAAACACTGCCGATGATGCACCAAGTCTGGGGAATAAAATAAATCAATAAATTTTGGGGGCTAATCATCCTTAGAGGCTGAATTGCAAATGAAACAGCTACAACATGGTCGAGCCAAAGGCATGTATTTCCTTTAGGCAGCTGTCATATGACCCATGTCTGACCACGGAGCACAGCCAGATGGAAAGCGTTGAGTTTTGCGGAGGGAGGAAAATAGGAGAACCCGGAGAAAACCCTCATGGCAGAGGAGAGAATCAAGGAGCAACTTTACTCAAATGTGACCAGAGCTGGGAGTAAAAACTGGGCCACAACGGTGGGAGGCGAGCGTGTTACGCACTACTCGAAAATGGTCAAAACAAGGCTGAGATCCTTCATCCCTAACCCTGCTGAATCCAGCAGGATCAAACTAAATCATAAACCTGTTGGAGCCTGTTGGATTGAGCAGTAAACCCCTTGTACAAATGTACATGTACATATTCAGAGTCGGATTCTGTTGGGTACTGATAAATAACGCCAAGTTGGACTCTGTTGGATCAAGCAGACAACGAAAAATTAGGCACAGTTGGATTCTGTTGGAATGAGCAGGACGACTCTGTTGGATTTAGCAGGGTAGTCCTGAGGAACCCTTAGGGAATTAGGGTGGCAGTCCAGTCTTGGTCCAATATTGCATTTTCATTTTATTCCCATTTAACAGCCGGTTTGAAACCCTCCAAAGTGCGGTAAAGCTGCCATGGCGGCAGGGTCACTATAAACAAGATGAAACAAATCTTGGGAACTTTGGCAGCCCTATCCAGAAAATTCTGAGCATGCCTCACCTGCGCTGCATTCATCAAGCTACTGCACACATGTGGGGTATGTTTGGAATTTAGGTAGTTGAACACGGCACGGGAGATAGTGGAGCGGGTTTCTGGTGTCTATAGCGGTACAGAAGATGGCAATCTGCTTGTCGATTGTGACCCTCCAAGAGACTAGGTGTTGAAGCAGTACGGCTAGAGAGCAGATAGTTATGTAAGTCTCTAGACAGTGCTTCTGAGCATTTCCAGCTTGGTCGGGTTGGTCTTCATTTTGCTTTTTCTTCTGGGATTTTGTTGGATTCATGACTTTCTTGGATTCCTCTTTTCCTTAGATTAGGTTCCAATAAAGACACATTGAATCCGACAAGAAGTTGGAACAGCAACAGAGATGGCTGATCCACTGTCTTGGGCTCAAGTTAACATTTCTTTCTCAGTCACATTTACTGGGGGAAAAAAATATTAAAAAAGAAGACAAACTGAGTCGGTGAATGCATACGTGGAGCGAACTAAAAAAAAGTTAGCTACAAAGTCTTACCCGACTGTCAGAATTTGCCATTTGCGCAAAGGCATAGGAGCCTGAGAGAGCAATGTAATGTTGATCAGTTCCAGATGGAATGGGATCTGTTCAGGCAAAGAGAATGAAAAAAGAAAACAGAATACCTTACAGTAGGGTTTATAAGTAGAAAGCTGGGGGAGACTACTAGGAAGTGCTCTTGAAGGCCTTACTGATGACGACAAAGCAAAGACACGACGAGTTTATGGGGGTCTAGTGAATTGTGAGGAAGCACCATCTAATAACAATAAAAAATATAAAAACCAATGATAAAGGGAAGTAACCATGAATTAAATTGTAAATAAATGTGTTTTAAGTTGCTTTTTGAGTGACAAAACTGTGTCCAGAGCTCTGGTATGGGCAGGTATTGTGTTCCACAGTGTAGGACCAGAAATTGTGAAGGCTCTGTCAGTGAAGCTGTTCTTGGATCTGGGTACCGACAGTAGCTTGATATCGCGGCAGGAAAAGGGCCGGGTCAACCAGGTACATGGGGATTGATGCAGTGTTAAAGGTATTGAGGAGCTGTGTACGTGCATGGGGTATACAAAAAGAAAGTGATCTTACCTTGGAAGTCTATGAACGTTGCCATTTCAAAGCTGTGTGTGTTGATTTGAAGCAAGGCACCGGGCGTACCAACGACGAGCATTGGGGATTCATCTAACAGCTCTCTGTATGGTATAAATAAATAGGGGAAGAGTTACCCAAATGTGAAGTTTCTGCTTTTAGGTATGAGGCTCTCAGTCATATGCCATTGGCATTGTATCATTATCTATGTGAGTTTTGTACGATCGAGAATAATAAAGCCCAGAAACTTTTACTTCAAATGGGACTAGATGCCTCTTGATAACTGAATAATTTAATTTATAGAATTTGCATTGGGGTTCCGCTGTGGTGGATATGCGAGGTTCAGGAAGGTTTCAAGCCAAAAAAAGGACATGGGTAGACTGGGTTAATAGTTTTTCTGACGGAAGGACTTGATTTAAGTATTTCGCAAGAAAGGGCTTAACCACAACTTTGTCAGTAACCCTTTGCTCTTCAAGTGAGCTTTTGGTCAGTCAGCCAGATACGTCAATACCCCCCTAATGGATTGCATCGGAGGGTGCTCATTTGCTTATCAGACTATTACCTTTGAGGCTGGTTCATAATCCGTGCAACAGCAAATGCTAATTAGAATTAATGACGTCATGGCAAGTATTTCCGCTACAAATTTGCAACTGGAATTTGCAAAAGTTTCGCAAATATTTCCTGATATAAAAGTCATGTTGCATTCGCATTCGCATGAAGTGTGCTGTAAACATTGGGCATTCCCTTTAAAAGTTCCTTCCTTTAAAGTTGTATTCTTCTTCTCCTCTTGTAATTTTTATTTCATTTATTTTTATTTTTTTTCATTTATTTATTATTTTTTTTCTGTAAATATATTTTCAACTTGTACGTTTTATTCCAACCAAAAAAAGCCCTCCTTTTTATACCTTGGACATCTTCAACCCTCTAACAAAAATTTGTTTTGGGCACAAACAGATCCTCTTTTCAAGCAGACTCGCTCCCGGTCTGTACATTATCGATACTGATGGTGGGGCAGGAACCAGCCTATCCTGCAAGAATTCAAATTTGATCTGGCAGCCAATAATTCAAAATTGTAAAGTAATAAATCAATAACTAAACATTGACATGGGTCGATTTTTTTCAGTGGATGCCTCATTCAAAAGTGAATAACATTTGTATTGTAAGAAAAATAGCCATTTGGAAAAGGAATCTATTTTTCTCACGATGAATCTGGAAAATAGCACAGGGGATGCAACTTTTCGTGAATAATCGAGTGTTTTAAAGCGTGTAGTAGAGCAAGGGTTAACTTTTGTATTTGTTATCTACAAAATTTAAAAAACTCAAGGAATAAATACTGTACTCTATTAATGAGTCGTCCGGCAGTAGAGATGGGGGTTTGCTTTGGGCGACTCCACTGGACGGATCAGTCGATGCCACCTTGGTGGTAAAATGCAACCCTAGGATAGCTTCCCCTGCTTCAGACGAGAAGTCAGAATCGTCAGGTGTCCCATCGGCAATCGGCTGATCGTTTTCTGGTCTCTTCCAAGCTGGATGGCTGCTAATGGTCCTTGGACCTTAAAATTTCAAGGATAAGACGGGCAAAACCCACTATTAAAGTTGGCATCTCCGCATGCAAAATGTTATCATTCTAGACACTAATTGGAGTGGTCCAATGGTTACGGTGTCGACTTACGTGCCGTGGTACGTGGGTTCAAACCCTGACATTTTTCTTATCGTCACCGACACCACGAAGTAACACTCTACCGTGTTAAACCATTTTTTTTCTTCGATTTTCAGTTTTTTTGATTTTTAAACATTATTCATCAAGGCCTACCATTGCACGAAGTTTCAAAGCTTCAAGAGCTTTACTTTAATAATTACGCTAAGTATCCATGGCAACTTTTGCGCAAAAGTGACAATTTTCGTTTACCATTGCAATGCATGGCGCGCACTCTGCTCATAAGTGAGCAAAAACGTTTTCACGAAGTAACACTTTTCTTGTAATAAGTTGTATGAGCGCGCGCGCTGACCTGAAGTTGCACTTTCCTCGTGTTGAATATATTGAAGAGTGTTACTTCGTGAAAACGAAACTTTACAGTTTAGCAGCCTTTTCGGTTTCACGAACTAACACTCATCTTTTTTCTCTTATTTCTTGTTTATTTAATACACAAACGGGTGGAAAACAGCAGATTTAATAAATTCAATTCATCAAGTGTCCACAACAAGAAACCAAACTGAAAATACTCTGTTGTTAGCCTTCTAAAGTGTTGTTTTAGAAGGCGTTCAACTTTAGTTGCCGTTTTCTCCGATTGCTAGTTTTTACTGGTATGTAGATGGGTGTTACTTTGTGGTGTCAGTGACATTATGTAAGCAGAGCCATGATACTGGGCCCAGGATAGAACTGTGTCTATTCAAACCAAAATAAAACATTTGTAATATTATTATTGTGTTTCATACCTGAAGCTGTACTGCTGTTCTTGTCTAATTCCTTTGTTTCCCTCTGCGTGCGCAGAAGCTTGGCAATGTCTAGTTGATGCAGACAACGATATCCATTTCCTTCAGTCAAATCAAAGATTCGCACCTGGTGTACATGGAAAACAATTTAAAAAACAAGATGATTATTATTCAATTTTCTTTTTTTACTTAGCCTCTCTAGATTAGAGGCTGAGGAAAAAGGAAAAGGAAATTGAAAAGACAAAAGTTGTGACAGTGTCGCACAGCCTAAAAGAACCAAGACAATGCTAACGTTGGAAGACTGGGTATCCGTTAGATGAATGTACATGTATATTAACCCTCCTGCTGTCTGAACAGTCACAGACGGTCAAAAAAATCAATCCTCTCCCCTGCCATGCCTTTTACACAGGATAGTCACCAACAGTTAGATTATATTTCAAGCAAGCACTGTGACTAGTCATATTCAGTCAACCATTTTCAGAGCTCAATCACAAATCCATGAACAAGCCAATGGACGACCTGTGATTGACTTGCGATTGAGTAGTGATCGAATTGCGATTGAGTAGCGATTGACTTGCGATTGAGTAGCGATTGACTTGCGATTGAGTAGCGATTGACTTGCGATTGAGTAGTGATCGAATTGCGATTGAGTAGCGATTGACTTGCGATTGAGTAGCGATTGACTTGCGATTGAGTAGCGATTGACTTGCGATTGAGTAGCGATTGACTTGCAATTGAGTAGTGATCGAATTGCGATTGAGTAGCGATTGACTTGCGATTGAGTAGCGATTGACTTTCAATTGACTTGTGATGGACTTGTTATGAACATTAGATTGACTTGTGATTGATTTGTGATGACTTGTGATGACTTGTGATGACTTGTGATGACTTGTGATGACTTGTGATTGACTTGTGATTGACTTGTGATTGATTTGTGATGACTTGTGATGACTTGTGATGACTTGTGATTGACTTGTGATGACTTGTGATTGACTTGTGATGACTTGTGATTGACTTGTGATGACTTGTGATGACTTTGATGACTTTTGACTGACTTGTAATTGACTTATGATTTAACTGCAATTGACTTGTGATCACTTTTGATGACTTACGATTGACTTGCGATTGACTTTGATTGGCTTATGACTGAATTTCGATAGACTTGTGATTAACCTGTGATTGACTTGTGATGGATCTGTGATGACTTGTGATGATTGGATTACACCTCTATTCATTACCTGGCCGTCTGATGATCCCACAGCGAAACACTCACTGTTTGTGTTCATCGCAAGGCTGAGGAATGGTGATGCTAACAAAATACACAAACAAGAACAAAAAGAATCCTTAAAATACTGAGCAATTATCTTGGATTAATCAGTTTTAATAGATTGAACAGAAAATTCAGTTCGGCATGAATTTCACATATGGAATGACTGCACAGGGTAATGAATATCATCATCAAAATTTAGCACCAAATTAGCCTCCGTCTCGGAGAAGTGTCAGACATATTTTGAGATATTTAGAATTTGGTTTACCTGATATTATACAGGACTGGTAGACAAGGCATCCTCTAGTAATGTCCCATATCTGTAAACAAAAGCAATTTGGTATTATTCAGACTATAGAAATCCCCTTTGAAATAAAATTAAAACGAATTTCATTAACATTTCATTTCCAATGTGGCATTCTTAAAATTGAGGAATCAGAGGGTTTTTCCGATGTATATTGCAACAAATTAAAGGGAAGATACAAAGTTTGCAAACATCACAAAACAAAATGATCAAATTTCCACCAAAATTCTTTATTGGACTGTTAGGGAATGACAGTCTAAAGCATCCCATATAGTCATGGCCCCTGGTGTGCTGACATCTTTAAGTAAAGTGGTATTTTTGTATCAATTTCCAATGCTGGTCGGCCTACCAGTGTTGGAGAAAACTTTTTATCTCTCAAAAACTGCTTCTAATTTTTCAGATTTAGTTTCACATTTTCTTTGCAATTGATTACACACCTGTGAAGGGGTACAAGCCTGAATCTCTGACCTTATAATTCCCCAACGTCTATAAATTGCTTAGTTTCATCTTAAGTGGGGTCAGGGAACCAGACTACAAGAACATGATTGGTTTTCTTGGTTTTTCCAGCATCTACCAACCCAAAACGTGAAACAAGTCAGTGTAACAATATTTGCTTTAACATACTATTCCTCAAAATCCATTTATTTCTTAAAATTACAGCAAAAGCAAATGTTGTACATTCCCTTTAAGTCCGACTTAACGAAGACATTGCACTGTTGTCTCTGGCAAATGATTATTCAAACTATCCTTTCAAAATTTATAGCAACAAAATTTTATATTAAGAAGAAAATGACTTGGAACAACTTGGGGATTAAGTAACAATCATTCGTGATCAAAGTCTCCTGCCAAAACATTTGCAGGGTATGCCATACCGGATTTTTTTTCTCTATATAGCCTGTATATGGTGGAGTGTTAATCCGGAAGTGATAATTGTCATATTTTGATGTGCGAAAGTGCAGATGTTGTCAAAACTCAGTACTGCCTACCCACCTTGAAAGTACGATCTTCAGATACAGAGACCAGTGTGGCGGGATGGTAAGGGCAGAATTCTGCGCAGGTCACTGGGGCCATGTGACCCTCCAACGTGGTGTCCAGTCTCTCCACCTGCAGTTTACAAAGGAATCTATTGGTTCTTAACTTTTCAGAGTGTGGCTTAAAAGGTTAGTGTGGCTTAAAGGTTAGGGTTTGTGACTCATGATCGGAGTGTCAGGGGTTCGAATCCAGCTGCTGGCCATATGTTGTGTCCTTGGGCAAGACATTTCTTTCAACTTGCCTCTCACCGCCCTGGAGTATGAGGGGACACTCACAATAGCTTGGGGTATCACTCGGGTTCATGCCAAAGAAACTGGAGACAAACACTGGCCTGATGGACCATGGTTCAAGATGGACCTTACGTTTATTTCTTTTACCCTCAAAAATGGATATGTTCACTCAGTGGGCAATGCATTACAGACAACAGACACAGGTTAACTGTATGGTTCAAGACTTCGTGATTAGAAACATTTGCACAATGATCAATGAAACAGATTTGAGAAATTAATGTACAAGGAAATCTTTTTTTTCCAATGAAAATGTTATGCAAAGATTCTAATTAGAATTCGCCTTTTTTAAATCATGACAAATTTTGCAAAGAATATCATTTGAGAAAAGTCTGGGGAAAAATGGCTGGGGTAATCATTGTTTAAAGTTGTCGTTGCTACCTGCTGTATGAGCAGCTTCTTACCTTTGAGTCAAGAATAAGGACCTCGCAGCCTATACACACAGCCACCAAAGCATCATCATAGCTGAAACTACAGTACTGAACGTGACCCAAGCACTGGCCGATGATCTGACCTCGTATCTGGTCACCTGCACACCCAGCAAAAATAGCAGTCTGAACAAGGATTTGGGGGATTTAAACAAGGGACAAACACCAAGGTACCTTGCACTCTATGACAGTGGTCTAGCTATCACGTGATATAACCCCACGAATGTAATTTGTTTTGGTTAAAATTGATTTTGTTGACCTTGTGGGTTAAAGGTAGAGTAGACCATTTGTCATTTGTGCATTTTTTTCGTTTGAAGCAGCAAAAATGCTCAAAATCTAAAGACGGATACTTAATAACTAAACCTGATGAAATTTTAGCTCTGTGAACAGGTGAATGCTGTAAAGTCTGACAAAACAATATTCTAGTATCTTGATTACAATTCAAAAGTTGCCGAGCCATATTTTGAATTGCGCCCAAAATCTTCTTCCAGGACACATTCTCAATAAGCCAGCTGTAGCTACGCGATGTCACGCACCGAACCGACGAATTTTTAATAGCAACCGCGCACAAGTGTGCGTCGTGTCAAAGCTTCCACGGATTCGCCCAACTACTAACGGAAATTTCCAAAAACGTGTCACTCGACACATCTTTGGAAACGACCTACTTTTATTGTTTTCTTCAAAATGACAGCATGCCAGAAGGAATCATTTCACAGGGAGTTAAGTGCCATTACTATCTTTAACCCAATTAAGCGTTTTTACAATAATTAGGTCGGTTACTCTTTGGATAGCTGGTCCATTCTACCTTTATCCAAAGTTGTAGTGCATTTCTTGTAAGTCATTCACAAATCACTCAAACATTTTTCAGTCTGAAGTCAAGTGACTAGCTACCTACTCAAATGAACTCAAAGGCATCATTGTTCATTTGCTGTTACTCCTGGCCTAAACTGAAATTTCACCGTGATTTCCCTGTTCCTACCAAAAAATAAAAAAATCATATGAAGTCATTCTTAATGATTCTGGAATGGCATATTAAGTACCAAGGTAACAGGGACAGGAAAAATGTCACACTTTGGACCCTAAATTTATAAAATGACCATTTGAAAATACAAAATCTGCCAATGATGGCTGCTAAAACTCAATATTTTTTTTCTTTTTCTTCCGGGGGGGGGGGGGGATAAATTATTCTGAAACATGCCAAATGATCTGATGGGTTTTTCCCTACTGTGTGGTGGGGACAGAAAAAATAACTGTCTACCTACCCAGGTCGTAGGTATTCCTCGCCTGTTCCACATTCCAGACAATGATGTAATCCTCTGCGGCTGAGCAGAGCAGGGTGGGGTTGTGCTGACGCCCAAAGCAGAGACAGCTCAGCTTCTTCTTGTGTGCTTCCAACACTAGTGGCTAGAAATTAAGGATATTGTACATAATTCATTACCTTCTTGTTGCCAAATTTTAAAAATTCTATTACTCATTAATAAGGGAGCCTATTTTCTTGCATCAGCCTGAAGACACAAGTTCACATGTACATATAGCATCACTGTAATCACCTCCGCCCACACAGGTACCCAAATACTCCACGGGAGAGAAGCCACTTGTGACAAAGTGACTTGCCCAAGGACACACGCACCACAACACGTAAGGCTGGGCTTGAACCCACAACCTGCAGAATTACCAGCAGATCTTGAGTATAATGCCCCAGTCCACGAGGCCACTGCACTTGACTCCATGGTATGGGAATTAGGGATGTGCATTTCGGATAGTACAGGAATCGGGTACCCGATTGATAAAAACACGGGTGCCCGGGTACCGTTAAAAAGCCAACCCCAAATTTCAACTCTTGGGGGTTGCTGTTCAGATTTTTCATAAAGGTCCACAAGATAATACTTCCACATCGATGCGTCAATGCAGCAAAATACAAGTGTACAGTTAGCTCTATAGCTTTATGGTGAAAACTACAGTAACTTTAGCGATCGTCTTAAATGTGCATTCATAAATACCTCAGACAGTTTAGCTATTCCTATTGGTCGAGAGCCCGTCACGTGGCCGGTCTTAAACGGATGATAAAGACATGGCTAGCTGGTCTTAAACACTTTTTCAGTGTCACATGAAATGTGGACTCCTAAAAATCCAGTGCCTCTTACCGTTTTATTGGTTGAACGTTCACAGTCCTCACGTAGGCATGCGCAACACTACCAGCGAGACAGAATTTTATAGTTCTAAATTCAAAACGCAACGCCCCAGGTGCGTTCTGCGCAACATCGCGCAGAACATGCCACGCGCGCGTCAATCTCCATAAAAGGGTTATTTACATCTTACTCGCCAGCTGAACACTCCATTATTTTGCTAGAGGGATGTTTAAAAAAGCATGAAGATAACTTGTTGAACAACATCGGGATTTTTTGAACGAATTATTTGATATATTTTTTACCGAAAAGGTATTTAAGAATGGGAATAAATATGTGCTCCGTCGGTATTTATCACTCTGTTTAAGACCACTTAGAGTCTGGGTGCTGATAATTACCCTCGCCTCCGGCTCCGGTAATTATCAGCACCCAGACTCTAAGCGGTCTTAAACAGAGTGATAAGAAACCTCTCGAGCACACATTTATTCCCTTATTGTTGTTTTGCTTTCCATGTAGCCTGGTTTTCATTTTAAAAATTTCCGAAAAATGACATTTACAGTCTTTCTTTTCCATTAAAACTAAGAAATTTGTAAAGTTGGTTACGGGTTCGAATTCCCGATCCCATAATCTGTAAACGATTCCTGACATCAACGGTCAGGAACTCGGGTGCCCGGTTCCGATGCACAGCTGTAATTGGAATTCAGGTCAATGCAGGAAACTACTTTTATACTTTAACCCAGGATTTCTTGGCACTACCTTGGAGCTCAAGCTCTGTAAGCTCCAGACTCCCACCGACTTAGCGACTGGCAGTGCCAGGTAGACCCCATTACATCCAAGCTGGAGATGCGAGGGTGCGAACGGTGTGGTCAGGGTGCTTTGATGTACGGCAGCCATGATGAGTTCCTGTCAGCTGGTTTACATGCATCTGGCAGTCCACTATATTGGATAAAAAACAATGCCGTCAATTTCAAATTAAGGATGGGCAGGTCAAAAATAACGTTACTATTTAATTTTTTTTTCAAATTCACAAGCCTATCACTCTTTTTAAACAATTTACAATAAGCCTTTTCGGAGTTCCAACTGCGCGCATTCGTAACCTGTGACAACGCACATTGTTTGTCTCAAATGCCCTTTGACAGTGCCCACAATGCACAAACAGCCTTTTTGTAAAGTCAGTGGCGCGATGATGTCAAAGGCCGATGATGTCAAAGGCCATTTGAGACAAACAATGCGCGTTGTCACAGGTTATGAATGCGCAGTTGGAACTCCGAAAAGGCTTATTGATTACCAACATCTCAGGTGGCATATTTGTAAGTTTTCCGGCTCGTTGTGGCTGTTTGGGGGTGAAATCTAAAAGTTTGGGTATGCGTTAGGTTGGTTTCTGTCTTTTTAAGGCAAAGCACAAATCAGAGAAAGTTTTGAGGATTCTCCAGACTGGGACCTTGTGTGCAGAAAGACATGCAAAAACACATCAGGACAACTTTTCTCACTCTTTAACTGACACAATTCTCCAAAATTTTCACGAGGCAAAGACAAGGTCCTCAGTACGTCACCAGCCAAGTTTGAGGTCTGAATTTAATTTTTATAAAGGAGACTTTTCTTCAACATTTTGCATCTGAGAGTGAAGCCAAGTGATTTCAATTTGAAGCCTATTATAGACTAGTACACGTCCAATTTTTTGAAAAGACTGACCCCTAAATTGTCTGGTGGCATATGTCAATGGAGAGAATGCATACATATGAAGAAATTGAGACTAGGTACCAGGTTTCTTTGGACGCAGCTGATTGATGCAGTAGAAAGGGTTGTTGGACTGGTTGTTTCAAGTGCCAGTCTATTTTCTTGTGTTGCATGTTTTTACCATCTTAAGTTTGCAACTCTCATGCACAGTTTTGAGAGTCCCAAATTTTCAGACTAGGGAATCCCTTTTTAGATACCAGTTTCACGACTCATGGACTATGTCCCTGTCAATATTGGCAAATCAGAATCAAACCAATTTTAAGCACATGCCTCAAACACTGACCAATCACAATTGTTCCCCTGAGCCTGATGACTGGTATTAGGCCAAAATATTTTTTTTTTAAATTCAAGATAGGGCCTAAGCCAGGCTAAGTGAAAAATTTAGGATGAATTTTATTTACAACCATGACAAATTATATTTCTTATAATATTAACTTATTTATATTGTATCAGTTAATTTTGAAAAAAATACTGAAGAAACAACATTTAAAGTTTCACTGGTTCACTATCACTACCCCATAGATTTGTGCATAAACTACATTGGCTTGTTTATCCAGGATGCAATATTCAGCAATGTACTACCGACGGTCCACAACAGTAGGCCTACCGTTACCTAGCCCCATAAATGTGGCAAATTTACTGGACTACCTCCGTTAATAAAGGCCACACTTGGAGTTGGAGTTGGAACATGTACCCGAAAATGTAGAATTTTTGTCAAGTTTTGATTTTCATATCAGACTTTGTTTCACCCTCTTTACAGCGATAGAAAAGTAGACCCCCCGTTTCAGCCATCAGAAAGTGATAAAAGCCTATGTCCTAAAATTAAAAGTCAAAATTAGCAGGGACAAATTTTGAATTTTTACTGAGAAAACAGAAATTTTCAGACCAGTCCCATAGGTTTGTGCACAGGGTGACAAGTGATGACCAGATATGGGAATCTTTCCTGAGTAAACTCCAGCCATGGCATAGCATGCTCATCAGGAATTTACGTGTGAATTCCTGATGAGCATGCTAGCTGGAAGCTGGATCAGTTACTCAAGCTATTTAACTCTGTTAGTTAATAGGCTAGGCCCTACTTCATTTTCAAAAATAAACGAAGAAAACTGTTCGCATCGAATCAAAAACTCACCAAAATCGCGCGCTTGTTGCATATCATAAGCGCCGTGTTTGTGAACTGGATACCAGATTGTAAACCACGTAAACACAACACACAAATTACAAGTTTACAGCACCTCACTAATTTTAGAGCTGAGTGAAAAAAGTAGACTTTACCCATGACTTTACCCAAGTCAAACTTTGGCGGCGAGCGCCCTTTGTGTCAAATCTGATAACTAGTGATAATCAGGATTGTGGGAAAATGATATGACCTGAACAATTTCAGTAGGTTTGCGCTTTACTTCGGTGCAATACTCGAGTTTCTGTGACTGTCACAGAGTGACTTTATTTTAATAAAATGAATTTACTCTTTATTGGTTGTAGAAACAAGATTTTGTTTTATGTGGCCTGAATCTAGTACATTGGAAGTTGGAATGTGCTTTATGTAGAGGGTAACACAATGTACTTTTATTGAGGCTCTCATACCCAACATTCCGGGGATAGTTGAGCTAGCCAAACCATGTTTTGTTGAGCCTGTGACGTTTAAATAATTAAGCCACACCTAGTTTGTCATTGGCCAATGGGGCTTACGTAATACTCAAATGTATATTTTAAATAGGCAAGGAGAAGCCTGAGTGGACAGAATAAACTTATCATGTTAATTTGAATGGCTGATAATGAAACTGATTAGAAAAAATCGGAAATTCGCCGGGAAAACTTATATATATTAAACAATATGGCGGGGAATTGCTTAGCCTAATTGGCGGAGGTTGCGCTCTCCGGGTGTTTTCTACTTGTTAATTGATTACTTCAGTATGTTGCATGTATATATCAATAGAATATAATTATGTCGTTTCAACGTTATATTTTTTTTCTACAAATTTTATGAATGAATACAGAAACCCCAAAACAACTTTTTATAATAATATACCTTTAGGCTTAGCTTTGCAGTGTGGGCAATCTGCGAGCTGCCCAAATAATGCGCGGCCACTGTATAGAAAGTTTTGAAATCAATCTTCCATAACTTGCATCGATGCAAATAAAGGTATGGCATACTAGGCCTATTAAAGGAAAAGTTAGTGGGCCAAATTTGGAATTTTTCCCTAATTGTCCATGGTAGTTTGTGGGGAAATCAGTAAATAAACATCCGATGATAAAATTAGGTCTTTTGGGTAGAACGAAGTTATAATGTATCATTACAAATAATTTACAATTAATTTTAAAAAAAACACAAGTTACTTATCTCGAATATCTGAAAGAAAACGTATATAATAGGAGAAACTTATACAACCAAAGTAAAATCACAAATCCCTCAAAAGCAACTGATGTATTCTGAAACTTTGGCAAGTACAGTTGTACGGAGCCCGTAAGGGGACAGGGTTGGAAAAAATTCCATTCCCTCGAAATACTATTTCGTTCCCTCGAAATAGTATTTCGTTCCCTCGAAATAATATTTCGTTCCCTCAAAATAATATTTCGTTCCCTCGAAATAATACTTCTTTCCCTCGAAATAATATTTCATTCCCTCGAAATAATTATTTCGTTCGGTGTCGTGTCCAAAAACAAGATATCCCTGAGAATGACTTTAAAAAATCCCAACTTCAATGAAATTACGAATATATAAATAGACACTAATTATTTGGCATATATTCGAAGATAAAACAACTTAGAATATTACATACAACAGGTCAACAGTTATTGCATACTACTTGTCTATGCAATGTATAATTTCAAAACCGTCACGTGGTCACGGCTACTATCCGTTACGTATCTACACAAGTCAGGTATGTTGCATTACCGACAAAAATATACGTGTTTATTGAAGCACCATATCTTTTGTTCGAATGAAGAACAGTTGGCTCCGGTCTTGGGTTGGAAACTTCATATTCGATAATGTAACCCAGCCTTTTAATAATTATTAGCACAACATACACGTGGTGGAAAAACTTGTTGCCAATTAGCAGAAATTTCCACAGCAGATGGCACGCGCTCACTAAATGCTCGTTCGACCAATAGGATTTTTAGCTGCGGGATAGCAGCTCAACAAATCACCATTGTCTCTCCGTTAGTTAGTTATAACAAACATTGTCATTACCTATTGCTCCTACATATTATTTTGACCGATTTCAACCAAACTTTCTCAAACGAAGTATCATCAGCCCAGCCTTAACATGTCACATGACCAAACTGGGGTCAAAGGTCATCATTGGGTCACTGAAACTGGGGTCAAAATTCTCATTTTTTTAAAACTCAAATACTACTTCCAGAAATAACATGGCACAATCACGTGACTCCTGCAAGAACACGAATACGTTGGCCCGCAGCTTCCGAGATCCCATTGAGCTTGTTATTCATACAGCCGTCTTATTTTGCCCCACAATTTCAGCAGGTCATCTTGACTTTGTTTCCAGAGAAACTCCAGGCATTTCCACCCTCTCGCCTGCAAGTTCAAAATGTACACATTCTCGGGATGAGCCTTGTACAGCACCAAACCGTACACCAGCGACAGAACGAATCTTCCGGCGATCAGAACCCGCAGCAGACGGCGCTCGGCTTGCGGGAGCGGAGCGCGCGATTCGAAGCCCGCTAGCAGATGGGCTTGTACATTCCAGCGGCGACTCACTGCACAACATCAGGTACATCGCGGAGATCGCTACTCGTGGACGCGAGCCACGTGCATCATTTCGTCAAAGTTGATCAGGCCGCTGATCGCGATATCGCGCGTCCTCGTTTCAAGTTCGTCTTTGGTGATGGCTTCTCCAGCAGCTGCTGTAACTAATATGTTGCCGTAATTCTAGTCGTGGTCCACAATACCTGAAATAACAAGGGGGAAAATGCCAGCTATTAAATGAAGTTGTTGGAGAAAACATCGAACAAGCCAAAACAAAATGTACATTGGGACAATAAGGTCAGAACCGATCAGGATCAATTGACGGGCCTTGTCGATGCGGGGAGGTACAGGAACTCCAGGTGTGGCCAGCGTTTCTTCAGAGCTTCAATAGAGAAGGAGTACTCGGAGAGGAAAGGTTGCATGCTGTAAACGTTCCATTGATTTGGTATCTGACACTAGGGCTGTCCTTTGGTGACACGTGTAGGTTGACGGAACGACCGCTGTACTGCACCGGAATGGCTCATGATGAACGGTGGTGAGGGGAACGTTGTCTTCCTCTACAGAGAGCCTGAGTGATTGGACAGCAGGCATTAGAATCATGAAGTAGAACCTTGACCACTTTCATCATTACGTTGTGTGGTCGGGAAGGTCGAGCCAGGAACATGGCTTGCGAGGTCACTCCCGCTATGTAGACCTTGCTCGCTCCACTCTGGATGACCTCATGGAGAACGGCCAGGTGAAGTTCCCTGCATGTGTGGCAAGGTTTCTTGAGGGTACAATTCTTTGGCTTGTGAGATCGTCTGCGTTTCTAGCATCTTGTCTTCTCCTTGATTCACTCGATAGTCTGCTCCACAATCAGCTTCCAGAACTCCGAGCAGCCATTCGGAGGGATCGGTGTTGTTACAGCGGGGACAATAAGCCTGTGGTCTGTCCTTACCTTTCCAACCAGGAGAGGGTGGAGACTTGCCAGAGTTGTGCTTTGTGTCTTTCGTCATGAACACAGCTTCTCTTTTTTTGTGGGAACTTCCCCTTCTTTTCGCCTGAGTGGTCACCTCTGCATGTGACTGCAGCTTGGCCTGCAATCCGCTTTGCCCAGGACTTGGAGTGCAACCGCATTTGGCGAGGTAAGAAAGGGTGTATGTCTTGTCAGAGTCTGCTTAAAGAACGTGCTTCTTGATGCAGTGCTCAACGAAGCTGTCTCAGTAGTTGGGCGGCAACTTGCTGATGAGTCGATCAACGTGGGAACAACACCTTAACTCATAGCCATTGTCTCCCTCAAAGGATTTGAGCATTCCGACCAATGAGTGCACAGACAGGGCAAAGTTGTCAAAGGCCTTACTATCACCATACTTCACGGGGGACATACTCATGATGGCGGCAATCTCGCTTTGGACTAGTTGCCTTGGTTGGCCATACTTCTCTTTCAGGGCATTCATTGCAGACGTATATGGAATTGGGTGGTTAATGAATGATTCGGCCAACCTGAGGATGTTCCCTTCAGTTTTCCCAGCAAGACCTGGAACTTGCATGGTTCGGTGAATGAGGATAGATGTTGACTAGGTTGTCCAGTGCCATCCATCTTTAAGGGCGAAACCTTTCTCCCTTGCACTGCTGAGGTACGTGGGGAGCGTACTCAGCGTAGGCCCAATGGGTATTCCATATGACGAGGCAATTAGCAGCTCCGTATAGCATTTGACATTGGTGGGGCTGGAGGTGCAGGTCCACCTGGATACGGTACATTTCCATATATCGGCCATGCACCGGGCATAATAGGAGTGAAGGGGTACGGCTGTGCACGAGATATGGGAATTGCGGTGCCAGTGCAAACAGTTGTGAAGGCGTTGTCATGGGAACTGGCTGGGCCGAAGCAGGCTGCACAGTCGTGGGTGGCAAGGACACGGCTGATCCTTTGGATGGAGAAACTGTAGAGGTTACAGTCACCATGGCCTTAACTAGGCTGCTCATCCACAGCTTGGAATGGTAGAGCAGATGCCGACAGCTGTGGGGGCATCCCAATGGGGACTAGCTGGGCTGAGACAGGTGGAGAGGATACGGCTGGTCCTCCAGATGGAGATACAGTGGAAACTACGGTCACCATGGGGTTCGGCTTGCTGCCTGGAGCTGGGAATAGGGGTGATGAAGTGTACAGTTGGGTAGGTAATGTGGTGAAAGCATGTTGGACTGATGCAGGTTGCACGGTAGCCGGCTATGGGGAAACTTGAGATGTCCCAGATGGAGTGCCTGTGGAGAACGTGGTTACTCCGGTGGTAGGCTGGAATTCTGGGGGAAAACTCTGGACGTCGGCCTGTGATACCATGTACCCCAGGAACACGATGGTGCTGGGTTGGGAGGTCCTGCAAATTGTCATCAGTCCCATCTTGCTGGGTTTCACTACTGACAATGGATGAGCACGTAGCGCAGAGCTTCTCGCTCGATGTCCTCATTGCCTGTCGGTGAGCTGCATTCGCCGTCTATTCTGCAGCTACTCGGGCTGCATTCGCCGCCTCCTCTGTGGCTACTCGGGCAGTATATGCCTGGTCGTCCTGGCGACACATCCTCATCCGCCTATTGGTCTTCTTCAATCTGGCGTTTGAGTTCTTGGCGATAGTTCCTTTCTCCTCCGAGTGAGTTCCGCCGATTGAGAGTGAATCAGCCTCGATCGTACAGCTGCATTATGCTGTGTTCACTTTGACGTGAATTTGCACCGGACGATCCATGACTCTGGTTGGACGAAGGCCCACCCCCCCCCCCCCCCCCCCCCCCACTATTAAATTAACAGCAATACGACTTCGCGCCCCTTTTTTTTTCTTTTCTTTTTTCTTTCGTGTTTTTTTTCTCTTTTTTTTTTTTGGGCTTCCCCCTCCCCTCGCGATGCCCATTCCGATGCCTCATAAGTCCGACGCCCCACAAGTCCCAAACATCGTTTGTTGGGCCGTTGTCGGAATTATGAGGCGTCGGACGCGTGTGAGGCGTCGGAGCTATGAGGCCAAATCCCACGGTCCGATGCCTCATAAATCCGACGCCTCATAATTCCGAAATGTTGGACTTATGAAGCGTCGGAATTACGATACGGCCCAAAATTATAAAGCAAACTAAGCAATTTTTTTTTCTTCTGAAATAACTGCGGCTGTAAGGATAATATATAGTGAAAGGTACAGAATATGGCTAACAGAATTTCTAAAGTGTACTTACATTCACAAAGAACGGACGGCTTTGAGTAATTAAGGATAAATTAAAGAAATACAGGGATAACTCAGGAGAAAATAACATGGACTGATCGGCAAAGGAATGAGTGTGAGAATGAGACAAAGGAGTAAGGCCTAAATAGTCCCTAAATCTAGTGCATATAACCGGAAGGGCACCAGTTAATTTGGCAGTGTTAAGTAGGAATAAAGAAACCACTGTTGTCTGAAAAGGCAAAACTAGACATTACTTCATCCACATTCCGAGCCTGGACCCAACCTACATAATTCATATAATATTATACTCTAGCCCAGAGACTGGTTCTACTTAGGAAACAGTAGCCATTCATAACCACAGAGTCTTGGGGATTGGGCAGGCACATGTATTGTAGGAGCAACAAAGGTCGAAGGGTCAATCTGCTGTATTACAATTGGGTGAGCTGTTAGTATAACTGCAAGCATGCTATGCTGCAAGTGAGCCAACATAAAAGACTATTATACAGACTGTTTTGTACGGAGCTCTGGAAGTGCCATCCGACTTGTTCAGATACTGACTTAATTTATCTCAGGATGACGACATAATGCAGGCAAGACAGCCTGAGATGATTTGTTAGGGGATGGCGACATCCTGAAAGTGGGATGACGACATCTCGAGATTATTTATTATGGGACGACGACATCCTGAAAATAGGATGACGATATCCTGATTTTGGCATGACAACATCCTAAAAGTAGAATGACGACATCCTGAGATAAATTATTAGGGGATGCCGACATCCTGAAATGAGGAAGACGACATCCCGAGATAGTTTATTGGGGGATGACCAACCTCGACCCCAGTGCTTACTTTATTTCCAACCTCGTTTCCAATACAATAGTAAGCCCTGGATAGGAAACGTTCTTCCTGTATCCTGATTCGATACCGCAATTGGTTAGTAATGGATTGATATCGTGTAGTTGATGTTGTTATTTCCAACGTGCATTACGTGTTTTCACGATCATTGTAATTATAACGTCCACGCCTTCTCACAAAATACACTTTTCCTTTATATGAAATGTGGTATTGTTTTCGTAACTCACGGCGCGACGAATTGATTGTGTTTTTACCCCAGACACCTCAAACAAAAACAAACGCTAATACGTACAGGCAGGCACCAGACTATTCCTCACTTGCATACGGTGCTAACATTTTGCACAAGCAATTAATGAGTACCGGGGTGAGAGAGCAGGTGGTAGGCGCGTACTGCTCGACACCCTGGAGACGAGGTTGGGGGTGACGACACCCTGAAAACAGGATGACGACATCCTGAGATAAATTATTATGGGATGACGACATTCTGAAAGTAGGATGACAACATCTTTAGATAGTTTGTCATGGGATATAGCCATCCTGGAAGCAGGGTGACGACATCATGACATCACAGGGTGCATTGAAGCCATCTTCGAAATGCACAGGTGGACGTGCGGTTTTTGTACAATACACGGAATTTATTTGATGATGAGAGGTCATGATGTCTGTGCGTATACAAGATGGATCCAATGCACCCCGTAATATCTCAGGATGTCCTCATCCTACTTTCAGGATGTCGTCATATCCTAATAAATTATCTCGGGATGTCGTCATTCTATTTTTAGGATGTCGTCATCCTATAATAAAATTATCTCAGGATGCATGCATGTCATCATGCCAGAAAAGATTGTTTTAAGATGTCGTCATCCTATTTTCATGATGTCGTCATGCCATATAAAATTATGACCAGATGTCGTCATCTTACTTTGAGAATGTCGTCATCCCCTAACAAATTATCTCAGGATGTCGTCATCTTGCCTGTAATTTGTCGTCATCCGTAGATAAAATAAGTCAGTATCTGAACAAGTCAGATGGCACTTCTAGAGCTCCGTAGCATTGGCTTGTACTTTGTGCGTCATTGTTGGAAAGTCCCACATGATAGGTTTCTACGAAGCCTTGTAAGGGATCACACACAATCACCCATCGCCGTAGAATCGCATCAACGCTGCTTGTGAACTATTAATAATGTCCAATTACATGATGGAACGCGCAAAATCTGAGTTAAACAAAACTTAACGTACAAAATTCCATAGGGTTGTCTAAGGGGCGTGGCTAACTCGCAAACGGCGATATGTCAATTGGTCGTCGTCTTAAAAAAAGATACTGAATTTCTAAATGCTGGATGCGTTTAAAGATAAAAACCATGGAAGTTGTTCTTTAACATACATCATGTCATCTTGAAGAAGAAAGGATTTCATATCTAAAAATGTTTTCGTGTTACATTCAGAATGGCTTTTGCCCTTTATCGACGTACTTTTTTGTACGGCCATATTATATCCTCACCCCACCATAAAATATCTTAAAAGTATTCAAGAACACGTTTTAATATTCATGTTTATAATTGTCGTTCCCCAACAACCTAATACCGAATTTCATATGAACATAATTGGGTTGTATTATATTAATGTTGAATTTCTTTTGAAACGGGTATATTACCGGTACTGATAATCATCATTAATCACCTTTCGGAAATTCTACATGATCCCTTTGACACTTGAAGCGTAGGGGAATTCCACCATCATGCAATCATGGTTGTTGTGCAACCTTATTCCCAGGGTGTCGAGCAGTACGCGCCCACCCCTTCCGGCTCTCTCACCCTGGTATTGGATCATTTATGTTCACAATTTTTGGACGCGTATGTAAATTAGGCTCCCTGTGGGCGATGTATTCTGGGCGCACATAATAGTCTGGCTACATATTGAAATTCACATCTTCGTCACATTCATAACGTAGTCTGTGTGGTCCGGTACTAGATTTAATAGCTTGATTGGAAAATTCATGCAATGCAAGGCCGGCCATGTCCTCGTATGTTGCCGATTATTGATGTTGAAAACAAAAGTAAAAAAAAGAGGCGAATCTATTATTTATATTGACATCTTGTGTGCAGAAAGTTGACCTGACATCGTCACTACAGTGCTGCAATATGTAAGTCACCATCTGTACGGTGTAATTCTTCTAGATAATTCTGAATATGGAACATATGCTAATACTGTATTGTCGTTGTCAAATCAGCGCACAAGTAAAGAGTTCCCTATCCGCTATTGGAAACGAGGTTGGAAATAAAGTAAGCACTGGGGACGAGGTTTGGTTGTTGTTTGTTGTCTTTATTTCGCAAGGATAATATTTGTAATATATTTGCATATTTCCATGGCAATGGATGTGATCACTCTGATGTGGCCAATCATCTGCCAGCATTTGGCGTTGGAACCGTAGGGCAGATCCTGGCAGTTTCAGAGGAGAGACGAGTCTGCACCTGGCGTTCTTGATGTTAACATTACCTTGCAACTAGGCAAAAATAGGCAACTAATGAAATGGCGGTTTCTGCTATTGCTGCAGGAATCATCTCCTCTGGCTTCTCAGCTTCGACAGGGCTGAATATCCAGAGTCCAGTCCCACAAGCCCGCCGATGCTCTGGGTGTGGTTTAGACGAAGACCAGTGCGCCCATCGTACACGGCGTGCCTGGATCAAATGGATTGACGATCGTCTCCTATTTAGCTGGTTTTTCGGGGGCAGTGCCGCACGCGTGCGAGAGTACTATCCGTGTCCAAGGCGGAGGATTTGTGAGGTTTGCGGGACTCGAATTCATGCTCCAGCAGACCATACATCAGCCCCTACAACAGCCCATACAACAGCACCTACAACAGCAGCAGCAGCAGCAGCAGCAACAACAAAAACAACAACAGCGCCAGCCCAATCTGCATACAATACCACTCAGCTTAGCATCAAGGATCTCTTCAGCATGACCTCAATGGTATACCCTCAGCCCACAACCGGATATGAAGATGATGATGATGATCAACCCATGAGAGTGGACATACACATGCTCAAGATGAACAAAAGTATCACACTGGATGTCAATATCAACTCGACCGTCGCGGATGTGAGGGAGCAGGCGGCGAGCAAGCTGGGCCTTCCCCGCCGGCGACTGATGCTTATCTTCAACGGCAGCCAACTTGAGGATCACGAAGAGATCAAATACCTGGGAATTCGTGGTGATTGCACCATATTTGGCATGAAATGCAGCCCTGGCGAACAGATGGGCATTTTTGAACTCGATCCCTCTAATCTGGACCCCCAGTATGACTATGACTTTACAGATAAATCTGATGACGGGAGTACATACTTGCGAGGTGGTCAAGTCTACCAGCGCCCATATGGATGGAAACGCTACGCAGTTAAAGTGCACGGTGAGTATGAGAACGACACGTGGCTGGGAGAAAAAGGCATTCGCACTTACTCAAGTCCTGGTGAGTGGGCAGTTAGTTACCATGGCACGGAAAAACGTTGCGTGAAACCAATATTGGAGGAAGGCTACAAAATTGGTTCAAGAGAGCGCTTCGGTCGAGCGGTCTACTCCAGCCCCAACTTAGAGAAGATAGATGAGCATCGCTACACGAAAAAATTTACTAAAGACGGTAAGAGATATAAGTTTGCCCTTCAGAATCGGGTAGACCCGAATCACCTTGAGGTGATTCCACCGGAGAAAACAGGCTATCCCGATTTCCCTTACTGGTTATGCCCAATGCAAGATCCTGAGAATGGTATTTATCATGTCAGACCGTATGGTATACTTACACAAGAGTTGTAATTAGCAATCCACAAAAGTCACTAGCCGAACGTATCCATTATTCAACAATAAAATGTATGCGACTTAGACGAGCCTTGTATACCGAATAAGTTCCATAATAACGCGGTATTCCCATCACACTTGATTTTATTTCTTTAAAGGCCAAACCCTCACAACCGACAGATTGGATTGAGGCCCATTGTACTATTAATTTCGTTAAAAATGAAACACTGAGAAAACAAGGCACAACAAAATAAAAACCACCTCACTTTGAATGACTTTAACGTTGGATGTGTCCTTGATCAATCGCAAAGCATTTAAAGGGCCCATCACATGAATTTCACTTCAGAACATATTTTGTGCAACTTTCTACTCCTCTTAAATGTATGAAAACTATTCGACATCCCTTTTTTGTTAATCTTTTTGAAAAGTACACATCTTTGGACATTTTAAATTGTCCGTGCTTTTCCTGACGAATACCGGCGCTGTTGCTGTGATGTCATTTCAGTAAAACACTGTTCCAGTCAAGGGATTTTCTGTTCAAAAATGTGCTCATTGAAAAACCTTTGTGAGAAACTTTGTTCATTGGCCAACTATCATGACTTGTATTGAAACACCATCGAATCACCAAAGAAAAGAAAATTAATGACAGCTAAATATCCAAAATCCTGGCAGATTTTGATGCTGGAGTAGCTGTTTCTGCCTGAAATGACATCACACTTTTGATCATGAATATGCAAATTTGTACTATCGTAAAAACCAAAAGGTTTTAAAATGCCCTTAAAATGGCAACATGAAAATTTAAAAAATATGGTTAGATGGGAAACGAAGGTGCATTTACAAGGGCTGTATTAGAACAAATTACATTACATAGACGATCTAATATAAGTGTTCAGTCATCAAAGCTGAGAAATGAAGCTTTATAGTCTCTTGCCAGCACTACTCGGTTGAAATTTGGTCTGCACTGTACACGGATTGCAATTTTTAAGTGTCCGTTTGTTTTGCAAATGTAACATACGTTATTACAAACTGCAAGAAGATTTAAATCTATCCGTATAAATTTGTGATAAAAAAGTGTCGTGCGAAGCGAATGAAATTACTCATTGTGCGCACACAAAGAACGCTTCTATTCTGAAATACCTAAAAATGAAGTTTGCCATGCAGATTATAAAGAAATGGCTATTTGGCTTCATTTTATATTACAGAATTATTGCAATTTTTTTTTATCAAACCTGACCTACCCATCACTTGGTAAAAGATAATATGAGTTTATCGTGAGATGTGGGTTGATCGTGAGGAAGAATATTGTTGATAATAGTAAACACATTTAAATAAACAAAACAAAAATACTTGTAAAATGCGATACATATTTATTAGAAAGTTTAGTAGAATGAATATACATTGTAACTTGTAATGTAGCATTGTAGCGATAGTCGGGGTGAGTCAAAAAAAGAGTGACCGGGATTAATGTTGTTTTACCTTAAAACAGCAATCACAATTATTGATAAACAAACGAAGCAATTTTAAACGAGCATTTCTTACAATCTTCTGAAAAAAAGATCTTTGTTATCAGAAGTGATCCATGTGTTACTGAAAGAATCGACTGGCTTTTATTATCCTCTTAAAGGGGGATATTGCGATAGTGTATTCCTTCTGTGTGTGTAGGGGGTGTACATGACTTTGTATGGCTTTACGATAGAGGACAGATACACAAGGGGAGATCCTTTCAGTCCTCGAGCGTTGGGTCTTTTGTTGAAAACGGTCCTCGATCATACGGTTAGGTGATTAATCCATGGGAGAGTGTTATATTACAGGGACAACGGGAAACACAAAGCATTGTCCTCGGGTGTATAGAAATTCACGACTGTGTGTTCCATGTTGGTTAGGTTAACTGTTTAGTGCTGTCATATGAAAAGTCAGACTTCAATCTCAATCAAACTTGGTGACAATAATCTTTGGGTAGGGGGACTTCAGATGACTTGAGACATTTGAGGTCAAAGGTCATCGTGGGGTCGAATGAGGTCACTGTTAATTTAGGTTAGTTCAACTGTTTAGTGCCGACATATGATAAATACTGCCAGCATGCCAGGGGGTCGCGCAATTCTAGTTTAACTTGCAGTATTTTTAAGCCCGTTTAAGCTCTCCATGGACTGCTTACTGCTTTGAAGTATTTAGCCGAGTGACAATCAGAGATTACATGCGTTCATATTTAACTGAGATTTAATAAATAATTATTTTGACTGTCATATTTTGTGTTTTGTATATGAAGAACAAATCATGCTATTTTTCTGAAATGAGAATGGTGATTTTCGTCTGCTTTCCTTTGCAACTTTTTGTTTGTTCATTGTATTTGAAGGATATTCATCAATTCGTATCGGTGTCAAAATGATCAGTGGTACTACATGTATATGGTGGACAGCTGAGTTTTGTGTTATTTCGATTAAAATAACTTGTAAATAGAGTATACAATATACCTAAAAAAGATTGACAGTTGCTCTATAGTTTATAGAAATATGTACTTTATTCTTATGTTATAATGAATTTTGAAATCATAACTCAGTCAATTTTTTTCGACTTATCCTGTGTATATCTCTGTCTTATTCTGAACTTTGGTAACAATCTTTGTTATATTTCACTTGTACGTCGTATTTACATGCTCTGTGTAGTTACGACTGATTTTTGTCAATACGAAATTGTATGCGTATAAAGTAATAAAAATGTTGAACAAAGACATTGACTGGATGGGGCTTTGAACCTCAGACCTCCGGATTTCCGTTCCGGTGCTCTACCAACTGAACTATCCAACCCTTTGTTGGTGGTACCTCAATTCGTCAATATCTTTGTTCAAATGAAGGGTCGCTAGTCAGACGCCATAACCCGTATAATGAGAATTAACGTTGTTCATCATAATTAAAGCAGATGGTATATATTATGCGCCTATAATACTGTATAAAGCCTATCCATTCAGTGTTAGTCAACTTATTATTACATTTTATCATTAAAAGATCAATTGTATTCTCATAATTTTTAATTTGGGATTCTAATTTACAAATTACAATTGTAGGAATAAATAAGGAGGGTGCCACAGACTCGATTGTTTTATTGAACTGTAATTATACAACATGTGCATATTACGACTGTCTATGCTGCAATGACTACTTCAGAACTGCAATTGCTTTTTGACAGTGCTTGTCTTGCATGAATATCTATAAAGTACAGGGTGTCCCCCAAAAAATCCTCCACTCTCTTTTTTCCCAAAATTCAAGAAAACCAGAAGGCATAAATTTTCTTATTAAGCATGGTAAGAATGCTATGTGTCTTGGTTGTTATCTACCAAAAAAATTGGATCATACTATCAATCCACTAGGGACAGAAATGCTTAAATATGAACTCGCCTCCATTTGCCAATTGCGCTGGGAACTCAAATCACCAATTTTAAAATGTCGATTTTTGTCAAGTGTGCTTTTCAAAAATTCTACTTGGTATCTATTATGAAAGACCAGTCATCAGTTGTTTTCAAGCAAATAAGAGAAAACCAACCAACCAACCATGGCATTGTCCATTTATTGGACTTTGACTAAAAATACCTATGTGTAAATCAAATACATGTAACAATTGTTTACCTATGTGTGGGCAGTGCCGATTTGCTTGACTGGTTCTTTTCAGACCAGAACCTTTTGTCACCTGATTTGAGGGAACCCCACACTGAATTGTAGCACCCAGCCACAGGTGAACAATTATTACCTGTGGTTGATTTACAAATAGGTATTTTTAGTCAAAGTCCAATAAATGAACAATGTCATGGTTGGTTGGTTTTCTCTTGTTTGCTTGACAACAACTGATGACTGGTCTTTCATAATAGATACCAAGTAGAATTTTTGAAAAGCACACTTGACAAAAATCGACATTTTAAAATTGGTGATTTGAGTCCCCAGCGCAGTTGGCAAATGGAGGCGAGTTCATATTTAAGCATTTCTGTCCCCAGTGGATTGATAGTATGATCTGATTGTTTGGTAGATAACAACCAAGACATAGCATTCTTACCATGCATGATAAGAAAAATTATGCATTCTGGTTTTCTTGAATTTTGGAAAAAAAGAGAGTGGAGCATTTTTTGGGGGACACCCTGTATAGCTGAATTTGCCAGATAATTACTTATTGTACAGAATGCCATGGAAAATTTTGTGCCAAATCCAGGAACCTGAGCAGTTCAGACTAAACAGCCAATCACAATCTGAATGGGCAAACCTTTCATGAAAGGGTGCAGAAAGTTCGAAGAATCATTCTAGCATGCAGAGTGGTACTGCAAATTTTGGGAGAAAGACTGAAACATTATTTTGACTGTCAGATTTTGGGTTTTGACTATGAGGAACAAGTCAACTTGTTTTCCCCTGAAATATTGATGTCGATATATGTGTTTAATAATGGGTATTCATAAAATGATCAGTGGTGGACAGCTGCATTTTGTGATCATTTTATTAAAAATGGACATAACTTGGAAATAGAGTTTGCAAAATACTTGACATTTTTACGGTTACCAGTCAATGACATGTACTTTTATGTTGTTTTTATGAAATGGAGCGAGCCACATATTTTTTTAATATTTTTTTTTCATTTCGGACACTTTCTTTTTGACTTACGTGGAGCCTACAGGGAGGACTTACCCCTCCAACTTCTTACTCTGTTAGGCTACTTCAACTTTTCAAGACTAAAAGAAGACACTTTGGTTTTGTGCATCGAATCAAAAACTCATCAAAATCGCGCGTTTGTATATTACGGAAGCTTAAAGTGACCGTCCGAGTTTTCGCATTTCCTTGATAACTTCTCCCAAAGGTCATTGATTACCCCCCAAAAAATGATCAGAAAAAGAAAGATGATGAAATGAGCTTTAATTTCTGATGGGTGTCTCAAACATCTTGGAACCTGAGTTGTGAGAATTTTTAATATTTTTGTTGGAAGTGCGCGTAATTAAAACGGAGGTCTGTGAGAGTACAGGTCTGCACCCTATAAAGACCAAAATG